CTCTTCCCCCTCCTCCTCCTCCCTCCTCCTCCCTCCTCTCTTCCTCCTCCTCCTCCTCTCCTCCTCTCCTCCTCCTCCTCCTCCTCCTCCTCCCCTCCTCCTCCTCCTCCTCTTCCCCTCCCCTCCCCCTCCTCCTCCCTCCTCCTCCCCTCCTCCTCCTCCTCCTCCTCTCCCTCCTCTCCTCCTCCTCCTCCTCCCCTCCTCCCCGTCCCCCCTTCGGCCCCTGCCGACCTCCCCCCTCCCCCCCATCCGCCCGCCCGCCGACTTGTCAGAGCGTGCCCACGCCTCCTGTGTCCCCTGGGTCAGACCCCAGGCTCGGCATCGCTCGGACGTGGGTTTGTTTCCCAACCCTTCTGCGTTGGGTATTCGTTTTGACTGGAGCACTGCGGTCATACACCTTCTTTTCTTCCTGCCCAACCCCCTCTCCTTCTCTTCTGCCTCTCACATTGCTCACGCCTGCGTGCCAGCTTGCCTTCTACCTGGCCATCCCTGGGAGGCTGCGATCTGCGGAACTGCCGCTACTTTCGAGGGCTGCTGGGGAGTCCAGCGGAGTGACGTCCTACCCAGATTGAATTTAGACCTTCCGCTACTTTGGAGGGCTGTTGGGAGGCCCAGCGCAGTGACGTCCCACCCAGATTCAAAGTAGACCTCGCCATCCTTGAGGGGGGTGCGACCTGCGGAATTGTCGCCACTTTCGAGGGCTGCTGGGGGGTCCAGCGGAGTGACGTTTTACCCAGATTCAGAGTATACCTCGCCATCCGTGGGGGGTTGCGATCTGCGGACTTGTCGCCACTGTCGAGGGCTGCTGGGGGTCCAGCGGAGTTACGTGATGCGCAGACGCAGATTAGACCTCGCCACCTCTGCGGGGGTGCGATTCGCAGAAGTGCCGCCGCTTTCGAGGGTTGCTTGGGGGTCCATCGGAGTTATGTGCTACACAAACCCAGATGCGACCTCGCCGTCTTTGGGGGGCTGCGAGCTCCAAATTTGTCGCCACTTTCGAGGGCTGCTTGGGGGGGGGGGGGGGCGAGCGGAGCGACGCCTTACCCAGATTCAGATAAGACCTCGCCATCCCTCAGGGGGGTCTGCGTTTTCTGAAACTGCCGCCGGTTTCGAGGGCTGATGTGGGGTCCAGCGGAGCGACGTTTCACGCGAACCGCCAGTAGAGCTCGCCATGCCTGGGGGGGCTGCGAAGCTGGCGGGCGAGTTCGGCCTCGCTTCTCTCTTGCACTAACGATTCGCATATTCTACACGTTCGCCGAGCGCCGCGGCGACATGGCGCAGACAGCGCTGCATCTTCAGCGCGCTCCTGGCAAAAGCAACACTCGTCGGTCTCCTTCCGTCACTTTCGTCGTCGTCCTCTGCCCCCTGCCACCTTCCTTTTGCTGGTGCCGCGCTGACGGTTCGGTGCCCCGCGCGTCCTTTTCCTGCCTTCCGTTCCCGTCCCCATGTCCTCCTGAAGCCTGGGCATTCGCTCCTCGCCCTGTTGTAGTTGTCTTGTGAATCGTGCCACGTGAGCGCACCCCACCAAGCTTGCACCACATAAAACGGCGCCTGCACTAACATTATATTGGCACGTGTTGGGCCAGCTCCTCGTCTCACTTGATGCGAATGGGTTGGGTACGTCGCAGGTTGTTTTTTTTTTCCGGCGAAGACCCTCGGGGGGCCCTCTTGCGAAGCCGAGGGAAAAGCACGGAGAGTGGACGTCCGAGCGATGGCGAGGTGTTCACTGGGTCAGCCCCAGAGGGGGGGGAGGGCGAGCAGAGCATAGCGCCTCTCGGCGCATCGCGTCGGTGGCGTTCTGCCTTTCTGCAGGAGGAAAATCCCCAAAGTGTCAAAGCATCATCTCGAGGGACGGCTTCTATTCTTTTTCACTGGTGTGTTGAGTATGTGTTTGTTATGTTTCGCTCATCTCCCAGAATCCGCTTGCATACGGACCCTGCCACTGGGACCTTCGGTGAAGCTCCCTATGGGGCCACGAAACGGTTGAGGGGTGCGCCGAATCGGAGGTGGACCTGCATGCGGACCTTGCCACTGGGGCCTTCGGCGGAGCACCCTATGGGGCCACGAAACGTGTGAGGGGTGCGCCGAAATGGATGTGGACCTGCATGCGGGCCCTGCCTCTGGGGCGGGGCCTTCGGCGGAGCACCCTATGGGGCCACGAAGCGTGTGAGGGGTGCGCCGACATGGAGGTGGAACTGCATGCGGACCCTGCCAGTGGGGCCTTCGGCGGAGCACCCTATGGGACCACGAAACGTGTGAGGGGTGCACCGAAATGGAGGTGGAACTGCTAGAGCCTTGGGCGGAGCGCCCCATGGGGCCACGAAGCGTGCGAGGAGTCCGCTTGCAGGAGGACGTGCCCGACCTGACCGGGAAAGCTGCCCCGCCACCGCGAGGCGCGGCGCGCTCTCGAGGTCGGGCGCGCGAGGCCCATGGGCGCGTCTCGGCGGCGGGGGTCCTCTCGATGCCTCCGAGCCGATCCGGTTGGACGTCGGTGGCTCCCGATTCTCGGGGGCACCCAAAAAGGTGTGGTACCTCACCACCCACCAAACCACCCAAACCAACCCGAAGGCCTCAATTTGCCCTCCATTTCCAGTTGGGGGAGGTCGGGGAACACTGAACAAAAACCCATATGGAACCCGTACCCCCCCCAACCCGAAATTGGGGTCTTCGGGTTGGGTTGGGGGGGTCTGGTAGGTAGTCAGTACCTCACCGTGTGGTGAGCTCGTTTTTCCCTTTTCGGGTCTCCTCGGAGGCCCTCGTCGCCACCGTCGGATTCGCCTCGAAGTTTTGGTCAGAACGCACATCAGGAGAGGTCAAGGGAGTAGCCGTATCGGTACCTTTTGAATTCCCCATCGGGGTCACCGCACGGTTTTGGGACTCGAGTCCTTCTCCGAGGATGTCTCCGGCGACAGGGGCCTCCGGAATCCCAAGATCGTGCGGTGACGGACCGTGCGGTGAGGTTTTGGGGGGGTTCGAGGTCACCGCACGGTCTGTCACTGCACCGTGTCGGGACTCCAAATATTCCGATTCGATTCCGGATTCCGATGGGGGTTCCGATTTCTCAGTGGAGGCCTATTGGCCTGTTCCGCCGAGTCGATTTGTCACGGCTCGGCTGCCGATTTCCGCCGATCCGATTCGATTCGATTGCAGATCCGACTCATCGATTCGATGTTGGACTCTCCTGGCGTAGCGCTCACTCCCCCGGGCACACACACACACACACACACACCCCTACCCGGGTATTGCTCACGATCGTACTTGGGTTCGGTAGCAAGTCATGGGAGCCTTGTGTACCCTCGCAATGCTGCCTTCAGCGTCGGTTGGCGTCGATCAGCGTCTGGGAGACGATGAGATAACACCGATTTTAGCGTCGGTTCGCGCGTCGATAGCGTCGATTCAGCGTCGAGTAGCGTTAATTTTGCGTCGAATAGCGTCGATTCGCAAGAGCCGCCGACACGATGGTATCGGAGGCTCCCACGAGTTGCCACCGAACTGGGTCCTGGACCCCCCCCTGGATACTCTGGTGCACACGGTGCGACGGATACGCTGGTGACGCGGGCGCACCCTGGCCGGTGCACGCCGCGGCCGCCGTTACCGCTACCTTCCCGCACGAGCCACCCCTCCGCGGGGTAACGACTCATGCCCAACAAACAAACAAACTATATATACCAAAGACAATAAACAAAGTAACCAAACAAATAACAACATACAAAACAATGTACAACAAACGAACATAATGCACAACAGCAAGCAAACAAAAAAGAACACAGCAAACAACAACAAACATAACAAAACCAAAGTCACCCGCCCTCTGCGTGCCCAGGGCCGGGGGTGGGGGGCGACCACCTCCAGCGGCAGCGCCACGGGGACGGGCACGTTCGGCCCGCACGGTGAGGAGAGGGGCCTTCCAGGGTTACCTTTGCGTCCTCCCCCTTCTCGGGTATGGCCAGGACCCCAGGTAAGGGGACCCAGTTAGTGGTAGGGCCCCAGAGCCATCGAATTGGCCAGAATCACTAAACCAGGTTTGCCATAGCTGGTGTTTTTTCAGGTGATGGCAGTTCTGGTTAGTGGAAATGGGACGGGGGGGGGCGCCCCCGGTATAGATCCTTAAACCAGGTTCCACTAAACCGAGTAACGCCTGACCTTCGGTCCATCGCAGCCACGCGGATAGGGGGGTGGGGGGAGGGGGAAGGGTTTTTTAGAAGCACCCCTGCTTCTCAAATGGCGCGGGCATTCTTTGGCCGCTTGCGCTGGCCGCGCCCCGCTCGTAAGGTATTTACACGGCATGGCCTTGCAAGGCCCTTGTATTCTCTTCGCGCGTCCCCATTATACGGGTTGACCGTACCCAGAAAATGGGTATCGCAGTGGCCTGGCAGGAGACATCCTTCCCTTCCGCTGTTTGCAGCTAAGGCGGGGCTAGAGGATGTGCCTCTGCATCGCAGGGCCCTTGCAGCCCTCTCGACTCTAAATCACGAGAACGGCAACTGGACCATCTGGAGGCGGCACCAGCATGGCACCGAGAGAGCCTCCAACACCACTCAGCGACGAGGCCCCAAAGAAGCCCCCGGGGGCCTACGCGAGGCGGGGGGGCTTCTTGCGTGGGCTCCCCCTCGCAAGGCCAGCGAACTCCTCCGGTCGACTGGCGGCGGGCGTGCCCATCCTGCTTTCCTCCTTCTCCTCCTCCTTTTCCTCCTCCTCCTCCTTCTCGGCCGCTGGGCCGCGGCGTCCCCACCCTCTCCCCCCCCCTCCCCCCCGGCCTCCGCGCGACCCCAGTCGCCTCGGGAAGTGTCTTCGAAGTGTGTCCTCCTCCCCCTCCTCCTCCTCCTCCTCCTCCCCCTCCTCCTCCTCCCCCTCCTCCTCCTCCTCCTCCTCCTCCTCCTTGTGGCTGATCATGGGTCGACCCCAAAAAAATCCTCCTCCTCCTCCTCCTCATCCTCCTCCAAGCGGCGGGAGAGGGTGGTTCCCTCAGTGGGGTTGGGAGAGGGGGAGGCCCCTTCGCGATGTGCGCCTCGCAGCTTGCCTGCGAGGAGGCCCCATCTCCGGAGGGGAAGAAAGTGGGTTGGAAAACGAGGCGCCCTAAATAACCTGAGCCCTAGAGGGCTGGTAGGGTTTGATGTCGCGTTGCAGCAATGCCCTGGTTGATGCTGAAATCTTCTGCGACGCCCCTGATCCTGTCAGAAAGGGGTATATTCTCAAGTTTGCATCCGCCATGTCTGTCTTACTTGTGCTCTGTTGCCTCATGGGACTCGCTGGGTGCTCGTTTCGCTCTGTGCCCTGAACCTTGGAGCTGGCGGGAGCTGGAAGCTGGGGTGCTCCGAGGCCACAGCTGGTGATACTCGACCACGGCGCCCTCGCGAGCACCAACCTCGTTCTTGCCTGTTGTTGCTGGGAGGAGAGGAGGATGAGAGAGGGGCGCTGAGGACGAGGAGAGGGCGAGGAGGAGGAGGAACAGCTGGAAGAGCAGGATGGCCAGCATGGAGAGGAGCGGCTGGAGCAGCAAGAGGAGGGAAGGTGGAGCAACAGGAGGAGGAGCAGCAGCAGGAGAGGAACGCGCAGGAGCAGCAGCAGGAGAGGAACGAGCAGCAGGAGGCCCACCATCAGCGGCGGCAGGAGCAGGATGAGAGCGTGCGAGGGCTTCGAGACCACCCCTCCGCTCCCGACACCCCAGCCCTCCTCTTCCTCCTCCTTCTCCTCCTCCTCCCCCCCCTCTCCTTCTTCTCCTCCTCTTCCTTCTTCTCCTCCTCCTCCTCCTCCTCCTCCTCCTCCGCCTCATCCGCCCCCCTCGGCGGCACCAGGCCTCTACTACGACCTGGGCGAGAACGACGTCCGGGCGCATTTCTGCCGGTACTGGAAGGCCCGCGCTGGCGCCTGCCCGCTCGCCCTCGGAGCGGCGCTTTGGGGTCGGCTGCCGTGGTGTCGACTCTTCCGAGTTGGTCCGATGCGATTTCGACGGCTTACGGTTCCGGTTCGAGTCGACGTCGGATTCCGATGTGGGCTCCGGTTTCTCAATGGAGGCCTGTGAGCCTGCCGATGTCTACGGATCCGTCTTTCCCCGACTAGGCTGCCGACCTCCGCCGATCCGATTCGTTCCGATCGCCGCTTCGACTCGTCGATTCGATTCTGGGCTCTCCTGGGTGTCCCGGTGAAGCACCCGTGGTGGTCCCTTTGTGGTGCCCCTGTCGATCTTCGGCGGTGCTCTGGTGGTGCCCCGGTCGATTTTCAGACGTGCGCGTGGGTGTTGCTGCAATTGGTCTTCGATGGTCTTTCAAGGGTGTCCCGATATTTTCCTGATGGCGCCCAGGTGAGCAACAGCAGCACGCATACACACACATATATATATATATATATGTGTGTATGTGTATATGCATGCATACATGCATACACACATACACATACACATACTCATGCACATACTCATACACAAACGCATACACCTACACATACACATACACAAACACATACATATATACATACACAACTATATATACACGCATACATACATGCATACATGCACGCATACATGCATACATACATACATACATACATGCATGCATGCATGCATGCATACATACATACCTACATACACACACATGCACACATACACACATACATACATACACAAACACATTCATACATGCATACACACATACATATATACATGCATACATACAGGCATGCATATATACATACATATATACATGCATACATCCATACATACATACAAACATAACTGCATTATATATATATACACCACGAATAGCGAGCCTCCAGACCAGGGGCCGGACACCTCGCAAACATCTTCTGGCAGTGGTTGATGCGCCTTTTCCCAGAGCCTCCAGGATTCTCTGGACGGCCCCAGTGGCCCCCTCATTGCCTCCCACACAGCCTAAGATGCCCTCAAGACGGCCTAGGAGAGGCCCAAGGGGAACCGAATCCGATTGGAATCCCAAGGAACACAGGAATCTCCAGGAATCCCTTTGGAACTTGCAGGAATTTCTAGAATCGGCAGGACTCTCTTTCAGGATTCCTTCAGGAAGCACGAATAGATTTTATATGCCGTTTGCCGAAATCCGCAGAATTTTCATTATTCGTCAGGACTCCTTCAGGAATCCTTCATCCTTGCAGAATCTTTCAATAATCTAAGAGGAGGCTGTAAGGATGCACAGGATCTTCAGGAATTCCTGGGAGTGCATAGTTCACTAGCCCAGGAAACCTTCGAAATCCTTCAGCATTCCGCAGGAGTCCTCAGGAATCCCCGTGGCCGCAAGGGAACGGAATTACCCAGCGTTTCTTCGATTCCGTGCACATTGTCTTGAGTGTCGTGCTTGGACAGGGCCCGGGTTTCAAAACGCAGTTGTTGGCCAGTGGCGAACAAGGCGTTGACGGGTGATATTGAGAGTGGTACGCGCAAGCTCGCAGTGCCAACGAGCCTTCCATTCCTCCTCCTCCACCTCCTTCTCATCCTCCACCTCCTCCTCATCCTTCTCATTCCCTCTCTTTGCTACTCCTCCTCCCCGCCCTTCCTCCTTCATTTCACAAAGTGTTTGTCGTTAGTTCGTCCAGGCAGGGACTGAGTAGGAGGAGGAAGAGGAAACGTGACCTGCACAGCCGCAGTGCGCTCAACATTCCAGATTCATCCAGGAAGATTCGTGCGGATTCTTTATATTCCCGAACTCTTCCCTTCAGATCCTAGCAAGATTCCTGACGGACTCCTGAGAGACACTTCGGTTTCCCGTGGATTCCTGAGGGCTCCTGAGGGTGCCGAACGGAGTCTTGAGGATTCCCAACGGATGTCGATTGGATTCAGAGGGTGTTGGCAGGCGCGCAGAGCTCGTGCGGATCCTGCAGGATCCCTCATGGCTCATGCTGCTGGCCCCTGAGGATCATCAAGGTTCGCAGAATGGTTCCTGAAGGGCTCCTGGGGAGTTCTGCCGATCCCTAATTGGTATCCTAAAGACCCCTGCAGGATGCTTAAAATATTTCGGAGGATGCATGGCGGATTCCTGATGGGTTTCTGAGTGTTCTTGAAGGTTTTTCGGCGGTCCCTGGAGGATCCGTAAAGATGTTGGGGGATTGCTGACGATACATGCTGCTTGCTCCTGAAGCTTTCAAGGGTCGCAGCAGAGTTGTCCTTTAAATGGTTCCTGGAAGCTCCTTCGGGGCCTGAAGGGCCCCCGCGGGTTCCAAACGGATCCCTTTTTGGGTTTTCTGAATGTTATTGGATGATTGTTTGGCAGGTCTTGTAGGATTCTTGGGGATCCTTGGGGATTCTTGGGGGCTCGTGCTGCTGACCCCTGGAGATTTTTAGGGGACAGCAGACTGATCGCAGACTGATCCCTAACGAGTTTCTAAGGATTCCTGCCGATTCCCGAATGATTCACAAAACAAGTTCGCAAGGATCGCTGAAGGATGCTTGAGGATTCACGGCTGGTTCCGGATGCATTGTTTATGGGTCTTGAATGGTTTTTGGCGGTCACTGGGGGATACTACTTGCCCATTGGATTCCTGAAAGTTCCTGCTACTGGCCATTGGATGTTTTTGAAGATCGAAAAGTGAGCCCTGAGGGGTTCCTGGGGACACCTGCCGAGTCCGAAGGGTTTTCTGAAGATCCCCGCATGATGCCTGAAGAAATTCTCGAGGAATCCGGGAGGGAATCCTGATGGATGTTTGAAGATTATTGAGAGATGTTTCGTGCAGATTCCTGAGAGCTCCTGCTGCATATCCTTCCAGATATTTGATGGATGAAGATTGGTCTCTGCAACAAACATGGCTTCTGAGGACACATGCCGGTACCTAAATGCACCCTGAAGATTATTCGACGGAATTTTGAACAGCAGTCAGGATTCCTGCAGGTCTCTGACCATATTCCAAGAGATTATTGAGAACGCGCTGTTTCCCTCAATGGTCAGGTCGTTAGTTATGGATCTAGCGGCTAAGCGGCTAGATGTTCTTGCGAGCCCTGCCTATTCCTGTTGGTTGTTGAAGGATCCATGGGGATTCCGGAGGATCTGTCGGATTCCCGTGAGATCAGTCGAATTGTTTGTGAGTTCCAAGGGTGCCGCAAGATTCCTGATGATTCCTGCAGCGTGCCCGAAGGACTGCTGAGGAATCTTGCTGGTTTGCTGCCGAGTCCTGCAGGATTCGAGGGAAATCCTGTGAGCCCCTCCAGAGTCCTTTGGATTGGCAGAGTTTCGGGTGTGTTCCACGATGTCTCCCGCAATCGATTCGCGGGATTCCTGCAGGATCCGTGCATGATTCCCGAAGGTTCCTGAGAATGCGCTGCTCCCTCCCGCTGCGCCCCCGCCCCCCCAGAATGAATCAGTTATCATGGGTGTAAGCGATCTCGCTCGGCGGCTCTCCCCCTCCAGGATGGTTGCGTCACTGTCGCACTTCAAAGGAACCACGGAATAACGGGGGGTGGTGTTGCCGTATTAAGGTAGAGTTGATAAGTCCGGGTTATTTTGGCAATAATTTGCCAGTGTTGTGGACCCCGTCGATTCCGATTGGCGTTGCATGGGTGTTTTTGGATGTGTCTCGAATGTGTCGGAGCGCCTACGTTCGAATGATATGGTGTGGTTGTATTCCCAATGCGGTACCTGGATGATTTCGCGCTGTTGCGGGACGTCCTTTTATATTTGATCGGCCTTTTTTTAACAGTAGAACAGTAGAACAATAGCAACGCTGACAGACATTGTCACACAAGCCAGCCGTCATCTTACAAAGTTCAAGCGCACGTGCACAAGTACAACGGGAATCACATATTGCCCATACCAGATGATTTGGAACAGCCAGCACACGTTGCCACAGAGTGTATTTACGAAATATGTGTTCATGGTCGAGATTCGGTCTGGTGATGCAGCTTGATGCGGTCGTATTCGACATCTCGAACCGATGAGCTTATGTTACCAGCAAGTGGTAGCACTTAACAATTCCGGAACACATTCGTGTCCGGAATGTGTTTGTTGGTGGTGCCTTGGTACCCAAGGTAAGCATAGTCATACGCATATGAATGTGGATGAAACAGCAGTGCTGGAAATTGCACGGGCCAGCTACCAACGCAAACGATGAGGGTACACATTTGTGTATGACTTCGAACTCATTCGGAGGACGTTGCTAGCTGCAACTTGCTTGGCCATCCATCAATCTCCTCGGGTAAAGGTTGTCGTCGCCAAACAGTGTTCGTGGGGATGGGGAGGGCCATTGGTCATCCCAGTGCGATCTGGGCAAGACCGCTTCCAGCAACCGGTTATGGAAGACCAGGGATCCCCGGCGCGGGCGATGGATAAGGACGCGGCGAAGGGGGATATGAGATAAAGGTGGTCCTGATGATAAGCGAGAGGACGGGAAGGCGAAGCAGGTTGGAGGATACATCTAGCCACGTCATGAAGTATTTCTATACTGTCTCTACTTTGTACTGTTCAGGGCAGCGGCAGATGTTCACCCCCCTGGATTGGGCATACAGTTCTGACCATCGAAGCTTGATTCGGCGCGTGGCCTCCTGTATGCATTCTTCGACGTAGCTGATTCCGGATGAGGAGCAGCAGCAGGAAGATCAGCAGGAGCGACCGCAGGAGGAAAGACGGGGTGGAATGAGCGGGGAATCGCGGAGGTAGAGGCGTGGTGGAGCGAGGAAGACGCCACGAGGGTAATCTGCATTATCGTGCGCTGCAGGCGTGTTGCGCGAAGGATTCTGCGACGATGGACGCGATAGGCACGCCACGCATTGTGGGCAGCTGCCGTTGTCTCTCGTGTGACTCCCTGGTTCCTGCATCATGCTTCCTGGTTTTATGATGTTCCAACCCACTTTAGCCTTGATCACCAGACAGAATTTCGAGCACCAGGAAAGCACCCCCAAACTTGAGGGTTTTCACGTGTCGGGCGCTGGGAGACACTCTTTCGACACTGTTTCTACACTTTTTCGACACTCTTTCGACACTTTCCTGGGTGCTCGAAATTATTTCTGGTATGTGGTCCTCAAGTACGATGGGAGCAACATAATCCTTTTTGAAATTGGAGAATATTTGTTGGCAGCGCCGAAGGCCGAAACAGTCTTGCAGCGAAGTGATAGAATAATTTGTGATTTCGTGTCCTTTTGCATCTGTTGGACAATGCTGCCTTGAGGTCGGCAGCTGTGGCGACATGAGGATGATGGTCGCATCATGTCGTGAGTTCACGGGAGGTCACACTCAGATGGTTCACGGATGCAGTTGGGGCAACCCAGGAGCACGGCGTAGTTATGCATATTTTCCGGAGGTCGCATTTGTTGTCTACGCCTGGTGAGTTCAACGAGCGCGCCAGAAGGTTCGGTGCTCCGACTCCTCGAGCAGTGCTAGTACACTCCCCATGTCCTGCACATCGGTCGAACTTTTTGTATGAATGTCGACGCTCCCAGGCAAAACGATTGAAAGCTAGCCGCTAGCAGCATGTTTATGTTTTGAATGTTTGATTGGACAGATTCAGCGCAAAACTGTGCGTGTGCTGTCCAGTGAATGCTGGTTGCCAGAACAAGTCATTGAGCATCGTGTGTCCCAATGTCCTGCAGACAGGTGCCGTTGCCTTAGTCTGATCTGGATGCAACGCTCAGGGTACAGCTGCCAGCCACAAGCTAGGAACCTCTCTCTGCAACGAACTCTCAGCCATATGATGTATCGCCCCTCCCCCTGCAAGGTAGACGCTTTGCCGGAGAGCTCCGTAGGCTCCTGCTTGTCTGAACCAGGGTCGCTACAGGATTGTCGGCGCAAGAGAGATGCGCACTGGACATGCAGAGTGGACGTCGGACAATGCGGAGGTGAGATCGAAGTGAAACGGATATCAGGGGCGGCGTAACCGACCCCTAACAAACCATCCCCTTTCGTGACGTCCCCCATCGCCTCGCCCCATGACGTACTTAAGCGGCTGGAGGGAAGCTTGAGAGGCGAGGGGGACGTCACGGAAGGGGGTGGTGGGCTAGGAGTCGGTTAGGCCGTGCCCGAGGGTAACCCGCCCCCGGGAGATCGGTTTCGTGGTCGTGCCGCGCGCGCCGGCGAGGCGAGGCTGCGCGCGCGGGCGAAGGAGTGACCCCACTTTCTGGGTGATTTGAGCGAAGTCGGACCAGCTGTTCCCCCCCCTGCCAGTTGGCGGATGAGGGGCCGGGGTTGTCTTGCGGTTGTCTAGGCCTCCACGATGGAGTCCGAGCAGATGGGGTCGGACGATCGCGCCCTATCGCCGATGCATCGGCGATGCGGCTCGATGTGGGGCCCAATTTTCTACACGCCGACGTCGCCGATGCATCACCGACGTCGCCAGTGCATGGCCGACGCATCGCCGATGCATGGCCGATGCATCGACGATGTATCGGCGATGCGGCGTAATCTTCCGACGGCAGAGGACTTCATCGGCTTCCACGGGCCGCCGACTTCTTCTGAGGCTTAGAAGTTGAATCCAACACCAAGAATGGCGGTGGGCCTTCTCCGAGCGAAGAGTGTCCCAAACTCGGCGATGATGGGAATCCTCTGGTTTCATCAAGGCGGCCGAAAGAGTGCCACCAACACCGAAGTCCAGGATCGTCTCCCCCCTCTGTGGAGGCCCCCCCCCGGGGGTTGTGTCGGTGCCCATCTCCAGGCCCCCAACTCTTCCACCCCCCGCACGGGCTCAGGGTTCGAGCGGGGCTCCGCTCGCCCCCCCGCCCGTCTGGGACATGGAGCCAGCGTTGGGGCCGACCGAGCGGCCCCGGGCGGCAGGGTCGGGCAGGCGCGGGCGCCTCGTGGCTCATGCCCCCCCGCTCGTGGCTCTGGGCCCTGCCCTCTCCGCCTGCGGCTCCTGTCGCGGCAGACGCCGCGTGCAGCGGTTCCCGCCACGCCCTGCCTCGGGCTGGTATATGCAGCCCGCGAAGCGTGGTTAATTTCTGGGAGGAGCAATCATCGCCCGCCCCGTGGATGCGCTAGGGGGGGTTGGGCATGTGCTGTCGGAACGGATTGGGGGGGAGGAGGAGGAGAAGAGGGAGGTAGGAGAAGGAGGAAGGGGAGGAGGAGGAGGAGGAGAGGGAGGAAGGAGGAGGAGGAGGAGGAGGAGGCGGAGGCGGAGGCGGATGCCGAGGTGGAGGAGGGGGGATAGGCAAGCTCCGTCGGAAGGTTCGTCGCCCACCTGGTTAATACCCCACCCAGGCCAGAGTATACTTAAGCTCTCTAGCCGTTCCGCGCTCATGGCTGGGAACCGAGCATAGGGTCGCCCCGAATTCTGCGTGTGGTGGCCGGGGGGGCCCACCGTGCCACCTTTTTCCGCAACGCTTCCCCTCTGCCCGTGAGGCAGCGGAGCAGGAGGCATCCGAGGGGAGGAGGAGGAGGAGGAGGAGGAGGAGGAGGAGGAGGAGGAGGAGGAGGAGGAGGAGGAGGAGGAGGAGGAGGAGGAGGAGGAGGGGGAGGAGAAGGAGGAGGAGGAGGAGGACAAGGGGGAGGAGGAGGAGGAGGAGGAAGAGGAAGAAGAGAAAGATGAGAAGGAGGAGGAGGAGGAGGAGGCGCGTGGCGATGCGGAGACCAGGCAGAGCGAACCCCCCCGCGGTAGAGAGAACCGGCTGCTCGTCCACGTGCGGCCACGTCCGCTGGCGGGCCCTCGTGCCCCTCGCGCAGCGACCTCCGCCAGCGCGCGCCGGACAGCAGGCGCAAAAGCCAACTGCGCGAAGAGAGCTGCGCTCGGGGGAGGAGTCGGAGTGGCTGGACCCTTTCCAAACTCGACTTTTTGGTTCCCCCGCTGGTCCCCTCCTGGGACACCCCGTGGGACCCCCACCCCCCCAAGGCAGGGAAGGGATCAAAGGGAAGGAGGTTGGTTCCGCTCGAATCAAATACGACGTTGTTTGGTTTCCGTTTGGCTGCACCGTTCTGGGGAGAAAAAAAAACACGGCCCAGGAGATAGGGCGGCGGCGACGGCGACGACGACAAAGCAAACGGAGAAACGTCCCACAGGCGCCGACGGAGTCGGTGGTTTTCGTTTCGGTTTCTTGAGTTGCCACCTGATGAAATTAAACTTACAGTTGTCACGCCTCGTAGCGTTGTCATGCAGCGAGCAGAGTATGATACTATGTGTTCGCCCTTTTCACGCGTCGCAGCGTGACGTGTCGATCAGGATGCAATGTGCTTCCGCCCCAAGACGTTTCCGCGTGACGGGCAAAGGGCTGGAGTTGCCAGATGCTCAGTAGTAAACGGATGCAAGCACTACAAGCGTGTTTCGCGTAGCCATGCGATGGGTAGAGCAGACTATACATATAATAGCGCCGCACCGGGCCCGTGGGCCCCGGGGCCGCAGCTTCGACCACAAGTGGGGGGACGTCGGGCCCAGCCCGCTCCCCGCCGGGCCCCAGGTCGGCCCCCGGAGCGCCCAGGCGGCCGTCCAGGCGGCCCTAGGCCGCCCAGAGCCACCCTGAAGACAACCTCCAGCGGTCTCCGGCGGCTCAAGAGGCGTCTCGAACCGCCCCAGACGCCTCCAAGACGCTCGAAGACCCCTCGAAGAGATCCCCCCAGACGGCCCCGGGAAGCAAAAATAGCTCCCTATTCGATGTTTTGTCCTTCGTACCGTCCTCTACGACCTCAGACTCTCCCTAGACCGCCCCAAGACGGCCCACGAAGCCCACAAGAGAGCCCCAAGACGGCCCCAGAGGGGCCCAGGACAGTCCAAGAGGCGCCCAGGACGGCCCAGACGCGTCCCCGAAGGGCCCCAAGAGGGGCCCAAGACGGGAAACCCAACTGAACTTTCCAGCCCCCCCGCCCCAGGAGGCCCCCAAGAGGCCCCTAAGAGACCCCCAAGAGGCCCCAAGAGACCCCCAAGACGCCCGCGGCAGGCCCCAGAGGGCCTCCAGAGGCCCCCCAAGAGGCTTCCAAAAGGCCCCCCGAGGTTCCAGGAAGCCCCCAGGAGACCCCCAAGAGGGCCCCAAAGGGCTTCTGAGAGGCTTCCCCAGAAACCTTCATGTACGTATACATGCGGCCTCCAGTCCAAAAACCTGAGACCGTTCCTGGGACGCCGCCGGGGCCGCCGGGCTCCAACGGCCAATTGAGGAAGCACGGAGAACCCCCCAGAAGCCCTTCAGATGCCCCCACAAAGACCCAAGAGGTTCCCAAGAGGCCCTCAGGAGGCACGACTATGGCACGCGCCTGTGCTTGATAGCGCTGTCCAAGAGTTTATAGCGCGCCCCCGGCCTGGGCTAGAACCTGAGCGCGCGCGAAGCGCGCGCGACGGTTCTAGTAATATGTGTTTCCGCCCCCTGCGCTGCCACGTGACGAGCAATTTAGAATCGTATGGTTTCCGCCTCCCACGTTGCCACGTGGGGGGGTAATGGTATAGTAATGTTTCCCCTCCAGGCGCCGCCGTGTGACGAGCAGGGTAAAAATAGCATCGTTCCGCCCCTCGGCGACGCCTGGTGATCAGAACAGTAGAATCGTATTGTGGTCGCTCCTCCCAAGCAGTGCCGTGTGACGTGTAGAGTAGGATGGTACTTCTTCGGGCTGGGGCTTCTGTGGATAGCAAAATAGGGGGAGGGGCAGGGGGGGGCTTGCAGAGGCTGCGGGAGAAAGGGGGGGGGTCCGGTAGGGGAGTGAAAGGGAGGGAGGGGGGAGTTTCCAGAGGGCGAACAAAAAAGGAAGGGGTCGCAGACATGTATCAAGGGGGCGTGGATTAGCGACGGGTCCCAATTCCACAAGAAGTTGTGAGTTTCCGCCGCCGAGCGAGGCGGCACCGGCCGCATTTTGGGGAACACATCTCCCCCGATCCATAGATTTGGCGACCACGCGCCAACTCCACGGATCGCTAATCCATGCTTTCGCGCCCCCGAAAAAAAGAGGGAAGGGGGGGGGGCCTCTGGCTGGAGAGGTCGAAGGGAGGGTGGGGACCTGCATGGGTGGGACGTACGGGATAGGGGGGAGTGCGGGGGGGGGGCTGTCAGGCGATCGCAAACATGGATCAAGGGGGCGTGGATTAACGACGGGTCCCGCTCCCATAGGAAATCGTGGATTTCCGCCGCCGTGCGAAGCTGCACGGGCCGCATTTTGGGAAACACACTTCCCCCGATCCATGCATTTGACGACCGCGCGCCATTCCATGGATTGCTAATCCATGCTTGTGCGCCACCTGAAAAAGGGGGGAGAGGGGGGGGGGGTTCAGGGTGGGGAGGTCCAAGGACTGGGGGGGATGGCTGGCAAGGGCTGCAGGAGGAACGGGGCGGCAGGCGGGGGGCGTGTTACAGGGAAGCCGGAAAGAGTTGTTTCTCTTGCGTGATTTTTTGACAGTGATGGCGGGGGGGTTGGGCGCTTGCTTCCTGGTTGGCTGCCAGTCGTCTCGGGGAGTTCATAAACAAAGATATACATACACAGAGTTCATATATATATATATGTATATATATACACACATGAGGGCTTCCTGTTTGCTCAAGCCTTAGTGGCGCGTTCTCTCATACAGTGAATGGTTGATAGATAGATAGTGGGGCTGATAGATAGATAATGGGGCTGATAGATACTGGGATCTACGAATTGATTGTGAGGTCGATTGGCCGATGGATGGAGACGGTTGTCCTGAGCGCTTTCCCGTTATGAGGTCCACCACCACCCCAACCTCTTTGTTGGCCCTTGGCCACTACTCAAGGCAGCTTGTGCAAATATGCGGCATGGTCGCGGAAGGGACCCAGCAATGGCGGGACGGAAGGGGAGCTTAAGTTTAGAAGTTCTAGGGCGCAGGGCGCAGAGCACAGAGGTCGGGATGATGTGGGGCCAGCCGTTCGGGCCCAGTGCAGCGAGCGCTGGCTGGGGCAGGGAGCCGCAGTCCATGTGTTGCCTTCCCCTGTGGGGGTTTGTCCTCGCAGCCCTCTGGACGAGCCCAGGCGAGGAATGGGGCGCTGACGTTGGTATCCCTGGCACCTCAGCAGGGGGCCTGTCCGAAGTCGACTACGACCGATCTCGAGGAGGCAGGGCCTGTCGTCGAATGGAGATCACCCGCCGCCCTCGCGTATCCTCGCTCCTTCCTCCTCCTCCGCCTCGTAGCGGCGGAGGCGCCGCTGGTCCGTTTTTCTGGAGGAGAGTGGTTCCCTCAGGGCGAACGCTTCTGTCTTGCTTCTCTTCCGCCCTTCGGAGGCATTGCCTTGGTGCATAGGCGCTGAGATGTGAACGTTCGGGCTTGTCTCAATGTTTACATTTCGCGACGCGCAGGCTGTAAGTCTTGTAAGTCTCCCGTTCCTACTCGTCGCCCTGCTCCTCTCCCTCAGCTCGCTCAGGCTGAGCAGAGGGCCCTGTCCGCCATCTTCCGGCTCGCACGGAGCTCTGGCGGACAGTTCAGACCCTTCGGGTGCCGATCGGCCGAGGCTGCCCCGCCCCAGGCACTTCCAGTCGCCGCTGCAGCCCCTGGCGGCGTGAGGGCCCCTGGGCGGCTCACCTGCCCAGGGGGCATCTCGATCCGATCGGTCTGGTTCGGATTGGTTATGTCGATTGGGCCCGGCCCGTCCGATCCGATCCCGGTGCTCTGGCGATTTGGTTGCATGGAGTTGTTGCTCGTCCGATGCTGTCCGCCCGACGCGTGCGATTCGCTTCGAGTTCGAGTCCGTGCCGATGCAGCCCGATCCGACGCGCGTTCTGATGCGGTCCGACTCCCGCGTGGGTGTTGGTTGACCCTGCCCGTAGTGGTGCGAGGTCTGCAAGGCGGCCTGCCCAGCCCAACCAGCACGCCCGAGATGGGTACGGAGAAAAAGGGCATGATACACAGCAGCAGATGCCTCGCGAAACTTGACAGCGTCCGTTGTCGGGCAGGCGACTTCTCTTGCTTTTGCGGACAACGACCGAGGCGACGCCGACGGGTTTTCAAAATCGGCATGAACCCCGACCGGTGTTCGTCCTCATTGTTTTCCGTGCGCATTTTGATTGCCCTGGCCTCAGGTTTTTGCCCATGGTGTTGTGCCCCTGGTTCGTGTTCGGCGGCACCGGCGTCTCGCTGGGGGAGATCATCACGGCCGCAAAAGGGCAGCTGCCGGACCGCGTCCGCCCGCCTGCTCTGTTGCTCTCTCCTTCGGCTTTGCTCGTTTTGGAGACTTAGCAGTGCCAGAGGGCGTTTGGCTCAGGAAAAGAATTCTCGGGTTGGGGGGATGGGTTTGCGAAAGATGAGGATAGCTTTACTCGTAGGCGACCGAAGGTATCGTTCAGTGCATCCGGGCGCCGTTGCTCATACCCTTCACCCTCCCACTTTTCCTTCTCCTCCCACCACGGTAGTTGTTTTTGCCTCACTGAAAGAGCTGGCGCACCGGAGCCCCAGTGGTTTGAAGTCGGGCTTGGGCAGGCGTGCGCCGCAGTGCGCATGGTGCGCCGCTTGCCAGACGAACGTAGCATGGGCCTGGGTGGTGTCGATATGTTTGGTTGGGACGTTTACGGCTTGACATGATACATTCCAGAATGTTAGCCCAAGAGCGAATGTTGTCATATACTGCGATATCAGCAGGATAAGAATCATAACCTAGAAGGCGGCCTAGGGTGTAGTTTCCCTGAACAGTTCCGAACACAGCTATCAACATATACGTGCGTGCGGGTGTGCGGTTTCGCGGAACATGTCATTGAGACCTGGCGTTTTAGTTGTAGATTGGGACCTGGAAGGCGACTTAATTACAAAGGTTATACAAAGTGCACACCAGTAACAGACACGCGTAAAAGATGATCTCAGAAGTTGTTGGCAAACGACAGGCAAATTACATAATGGCAGCAGGCAAGTCAAGGGCAAGCTTAGGGCGCTGGCCTCCGCATAGCAGACAGGACGATAATGCTGATGAGGAGAAAAACCCAGTTGGAGTAAAGGAGGTGTGGGCATGGGTTTCGCATTGCCAGTCTTGCCCTTTAGATTTGGCTCGGTCGGTAACAAGGCACAGAAAATAGTGAGGCCCAGCGGTGCGTGCAGCGGTTGCCGTGCAGGCGGATTTGCAGGCACCTTGATTGTGGATCCTGGATCCTGGGGGTGGCGGCGATTTTCCCATCGCTGCCATCTCCCCACCCCGCTGCGCTACAGCCACCCTGCTTGCCATGAGGGACGCCCAGCAAGGAACGACAACCGTTCTGGGCCCCCAAACCGCCTGGGTGCACCAGGAGCGCTGGCGGAACAACTGTGGGAGGGCCTACGGAACAACGAACACCCAGAGCACGCTTTCTCGTTCGGCAATCCGACATGGAGGGGGATCACGGCGGCCCCCAGACGGGAGTTTGCACGCGCATCTCCAAATCAGTGAGTTGTTGGCTGGTATGGTGGCCTGGACACGGGCGAGACTAAACATGTGCGCTCGTCTTGTGACTCTTGTGCGACTCGGGTCTTTTGGTGGTCCTCCTGGGGCCATCACGGCGCCCATTCGATGGCCTTGGGGTCGTTTGTGAGGGCATTGGGGCCGTGTGGGGTCGTTGAGGCAGCCTTGGGGCAGGCCAAGGCTCATCTTGGAGGCGTCCAGGAAGTCAGTTGGGAGCCTCTTGGGCGTTTTGGCGCCTCTTGGGCTTCTTGGGCGCCTTCTGCACGGGCTCTGGGCCCTCTGAATAGCCCTCGAGACAGCACGAAGCAATGACAAACATGTTGTTTTGTATGCATGTATGAGCTCCCTGATTGGGACCTCTTTGGGCTGCCTTGGGGGTGCGGCTATTCGGCTCTTTGAGGTGTCTCGGACTTGTCGGAGTTCTTTTGAAGCCGCATTGAACGTCATCTGGGGCATTTGGAAGCTCTGCGGGCCCTGGTCTGAGGGCGGATCGGAAGCTATGAGGGCCCTGGCGGGCCTCTGACGAGCTCGTCCCACCCCCCACCCATCTGACAGGATATTAGACCGCCTTGGAAGCCTTTTGACCGTCTTGGGGCGAGTTCGGCTTCGTTGCCGTGTTGGCTGTGTTTGGGCGCTTTGGGATTGTTTCGGTTGTGCCTTGTTCCTGTGCTGATTGTTTGGATTCTTGGTGCCTATGTCTGGTGATGTTTGAGGTTATTCCCCCCCAAGCACACCCCACATGGAGTGGTCGTTCCAGGAACACTGCAGATCCATAAATGTATTTTTGGGCAAATGGCCCACAACCGGCGCTGTATATGGGGGGGAGTTTCTAACCTCCGGTCGTCGCGAGGGGGTGTGGTCGGCAATGGAAACCAGTAAATAGTACAGGGACCTTGCCAGACAACAGGGGAGCAAGGCACAAGGCAGGGTGGCAGATCTTTGTAGGAGGAACCTGAGTGAGGAAAAAGAAGCCGCTTTTCTGATGCAGCGCGAAGCTTGGTCGTAAGGACCCATGCCTTTCCCGGATTGGCGTTTCCGCTGTCGAGCAATCTTTTTCAAATTGGTGAAGGATTGGAAGGAGGTCCGACTCAGCTATCTGAATGGCCAGGTTGCATTTCGGGAGCACTGCAGTCGCTTCCAGCACGCTCGCGATCCCCAGGATCGGGCGCGAGAGGTCCGGGTATCGACCGCGAGCACGGTGTGGCATTTGCTGCCCACCCCGTCCCAGGCAATTGGGAGAGATGTACCATCTGGTCGTGCTTCCCCCGTCTGCACTGCTGGCTTCCTGTGCTCCTTGGCCTTCGTCGAGCTACGATGGTCGACGTCTGCCGAGGAGGCTTCGGCCCTTGCTTCGGTAAGTGGGACTGCTGGCCCCCATTCTCGCAGCAGGGTGCTGGTGCTGTGCGGGTCCTCGTTTGTGCGGGTCCTCGTTTGTGCTGGTGCTGCGTTCGTCAGCCAATTCCTCGCTTGTGCGGGTGCTGTCTGTAATTGAAATCAGCCAGGATCATACATTTTTTTGGCAGAGGAAGGGCAATGGGTTTCGCTGTTCCACGTTGATCGACCTAGTACACAACAGTGACGATTGCGCAAACAGTCTCGCGTGAGTCGCGTAAGTTGCCCTCACCAGGTCGCGTGCGAGCGTCGTCTCCGAACGCGGGATTCTGCTTTGGCGGCCTGTGTAAGGTCTCGCAAAAGTTCCATGGCCTCATGCGTAAAACTATGTTCTTCGTCTCTTAATTGTGGCCTGTGAGGGACAGCTCCAGGCATTGTGCTCCCAAGCATTTTAGTTGAGGATGGCACTCGCATGCAGTTTCGCATTCATGCCTCCATTGGTGGGGCGCATCTCACTGAGGCTGTCACACCCCGAACCTCGAATTCGATTCGGCCGCGGCAGCCTAAGCAGAATCAACTGCTCTGACATGCATCCAGCTGTGAAGGGAAAGGGCTTCGCGACCATTGTTGCACAATTGATGTCAGGGAAGTTATGCCAGCGCGATGCCGGTTCGCCGGCTTCATTTGTACCATATCTTGAGCAATTTCAGGACACAGTTGGGATTCGAGATATCGCAGATTTTGTTATGGCGGGTGGGGTCTTGTGGGGCAAGCATGCACGAGAACACATCATTGACGAGTGACCAGTACGAGCGCTACGCAGACGTAGGTTGATGTAGTGTAGTGGATTTTATTGAGAAGACGTGGCAGCCTTACGTACCAGGCAGAGAATTCATCGAAGGCGCTTACGGCGAATCATTGCCGCTTCCTGTCGTGTGTAAACGGCCATGCGGCCATACGTTGGACCGACGCTTCGCAAAGCTATTGCAATTGGACTATATGCTCCCCAGCTGTTGTTGAATCCCTTGGGGGGAACACTGGGGAAGGAAGGGGACGGAGGAGGAGGAGGAGGAGGATGAAAGGGAGGAGGACGAGGAGGACGAGGAGGAGGAGGAGGAGGAGGCGGAAGAAGAGGAGACCGTAAGGCTTCCGTGGGGCTTCCTGAGGGTTTCCTGGGAGCCCCTGGTGGGCCTTTGAGGGCGATCGAGGGGGGGAAGTGAGAAGGAGAACGGCTTCTCAGAAGGCCCTGCGCTTTCTGAGAAGTTGTTTGTGTCTTCAGGGAAGGCTCAGAAAACATGTCAGAAGGCGTAGGAACTCCCGAGCCTTCTGAGAAGGCCCGCCCCTTCTCACTTCCCCCCCTCGCTCGCCGCCGATCTTGATTTCCCGTTGGGGGCCCCTTGGGGACTTCGACGGGGTCGCTTGGCCTTGGGAGGCCGCCATAAGGGGCCCTCTCTGGGCAGTCATGGGCCCCTGCGCGGGCGCTCCGGGGCCGTCTTCGATGTTTGTAGGAGCCGCTTCGGTGTCCCGGGGGCCTCGTGGGCCGCCTTGCGGGCCTCTTGGGCCGCCTTGCGGGCCTCTCGGGGGCATGGTGGGCCGCCTTGGGGCGATCTCGGGGGCCCAATGGGCCGCCCTGGATCGTCGGAAGCTTGAAACGGCAGGAGTGCTACAATCATTGAGGTCGACGGGGGGTGAATCTTTGAATGAACATCCCATGCTAAAGAACACCTCGTCGGATGTGTAGGATCCGCGCTGCCCTCGTCCCCGCCGTGCCTCCCAGGAGCCCACGGAAGTGGCGACACTTGCGCAGTTCGCAGCCACCCAGGGAGCATCGAGGCCTCGGCTGGGTGCGCGTGCTCCCCCGACTCCGCTCGACCTCCCAGGAGCCCACGAAGGTGACGACACGTGCGCAGTTCGCAGCCACCCAGGGAGCAGCGACGTTCCCGTCTGGGTTCGCGTGCCCTCCGACTCCGCTGCACCTCCCAGGAGCCCACGCGAGTGGGGACGGTTGCACAGTTCGCAGCCACCCACGAAGCAGCGAGGTCTCGGCTGGGTCTGCGTGTGTTCCCATTCCGTTTGCCACCCCTGGAGCCAACGCAAGTTGCGACACGTGCGCAGTTCGCAGCCACCCACGGCGCAGCGATGTCCTGTTTGGGTTCGCGTGCCCCCCGACCCCGCTGGACCTCCCAGGAGCCCACGCGAGTGGCGACGGTTGCACAGTTCGCAGCCACCCACGGAGCAGCGAGGTCTCGGCTGGGTCCGCGTGTGTTCCCACTCCGCTGGCCACCTCGGGAGCCTACGAAAAGCGCCCAGGAGCCCACCGCAAGGCGACAGTTGCGCAGTTCGCAGCCATCCAGGGCGCGGCGAGGTCTCGTCAGGGTCCGCATGGCCCCCGTTAGAGCTCCCCGGAGCCCGCGAAAATGGTGACAGGTGCGCAGTTCGAAGCCACCGCGGGGGGCAACGCAGTAGGAGGCAGGGAGGAAACGGGAGACGGGAGTAGAGGTCGGGACCGCAGCTCTTTACTCAAAACGAGAACCCAGCCAAGGGGGGTTTGGAAGAAGTTGCGGAGAATGCATGAGTGTGGCCTTCTGGAGGTCTTCCCTGGAGCCCTCTTGGGGCGTCTTCGGGGCCTCTTGGGCAGTCGTGAGGCCATCTTCCGCCGTTTTCGGGTGCAGAGTGCGCCGTCTTGGAGACATCTTGGGACCATCGTTCGCTTTGTTGGGATCGTATTGGTGGTCTTGGAGGCGTCGTTGGACTGTCTTGGAGGCTATCTTGATTGGAAATCTGTAAAAGAACCAGGACACTCAAAAGTCTGGCACGCCGCGCATCACCATGGCAAGCCACAGGGGCCAGCGGATGTGGGGGCCTTCGGCGAGTGTGGCCACAGTTCTTGGGTCGTGGGGTAAAAACCGTTTGGAGGGTTCTCCAGGTCTCTTGGGGGATTCACCGGCGGCATCTTGGAGCCCACTTGGGGCCAATTTGGGGCCTCTCGGGGGCCGATTGCGCGCTTCTTGGGCGCTTCTTGGAACCCTTGCATCCTTGCCTCCTCGGTTCACGATTTGCCACTTTCGTTGGCCGCGCTCCGTTAGAAAAGCTTCGAAACGGGCGTCCAGGGACTTCTTGCATCCTTATAGAGCATCCTCATGATACGGGGAGGCCCCCGCCGAACACCTTCAGAATAAGTACGGTAGTTTCATGCGGCAATAGCGCGCCGGCGACGCCGGCGAAGGCGTGCAAGGCTGAATTTTGCAGGGGCATTGTAACGCCGCAGGACCCGACGGAATTCAACCTCGAGCGATCGGTGCCGCGATCGATTCCAGGCTGAACGATCGACGCGGGGTCAAAAAATGTGGCGCGCGTCGACGCCGCACGAACCTGCCATGAGTATAGATTCACGCGCTGCCGGTTAGCTCGCGGCAGGTGCGAGCAGCTCCGAGCAGCTCGCACGATTGCAACAACAAGCTGCGTGTCTTTGTTCTGGTGTTAAGTCGGGCCTGTCCCTCTGCAGGAGGAATATTCAAAATTAGTCAAAGAATAGTCAGGGGAAGACGTTTTAAAACTATGTTTGATCATTTGGGAGTATGTTTGGAGTATTTTCATTTTTCGCCCAAAATCCCCCTGTAGGGGGACACGCCCGACTTAACTCTGGTAGGCTCTGGCGGCGCCGAGTTCGGCGTCATCGCCGTGCGTACCCGACTGCTGAAAGGCAGTTCGGGAAGCTCTTGGAGGAGATGCCGGGGTGTTGTCGGCGCCTTTCGGGGGTCTCTTTTGCCCCACCTGGGGCCTGATTTGGGCACCTTGTTCTGGGGCACTTCCTGTGACCTGCTGGCAGTCTCGGAGGTAGCCATGGGGCGGAGGACTCGACATGTCGGTTCGTGTTCCTTCATCTGGGGACCTCATCTTGGGCCCCTCTTGCAACACGGGGGCTCGCTTGGTGCTCCTTTGCCAGGCAGCCGGGAGGGCGCGTTACCATCACCGACGTCTTCCTCGTTGCCACGGTTGACGCGAAGACGTTTGGCATTGCGTCAAGCATTGCGGTTTAGCATTGCGGTCGTCAGCGGCACCACCGTGTTTCTTTCTCTTTGTTGGTCGAGTTTCAGAGCTCGAGCAGGCATCTGTTCCCAGGAGCTCTCCAAGCAGAGTTTCCGAGCCAAAGGGTGGAGCGGGTTGGGTCGTCGCCCCACCACTTGGCTGGATCCCCCCCAGAGGGAGCTGGTGTCACGGACCCCGAGGAGATGGATGTGCGTTTGCGCCCCCCAAAACCAGCACGACGCGATCATGTCAAGAGTGTTCCAATGAGGCCGCCGAGGCTCAATGTTTGGTCTGCGTCGTATTGACGTTGCGCTGGGTCCTGAGACTATGGTGTTGCAGCTGTGTGTCCCACTGTTCCTCGCCCTGTCTCCTCCACCGTCCTCCCACTCCTCCCCCTCTCACCCGTTCCTCCCTCCTCCGCCCCGTGGTCTCCCACTGTCCGCATGCCTTCTCGCCCACTGCCCCTCCATCCCTTCCGCGGGACGGCAGGCGACCCGCGACGGCGGCGCGAACTTGATAGGTCAGTTACCCCTTTCTCCCCCGTGCTGGCATCTTTCTGACATTGGCGACTGCGGGCGCCTCTCGGGGGCGGCCAAGAGGGGGGTAATGACTTAGGGGGGGCATGAGAGCTCCCCAGATGTCTTGGCTTACGATGTTCCAACCCACTTTCGCCTTGGTCACCAGGAGATTTCGAGCACCAGGAGAGTACCGAACTTGGAGGGTTTTCACCTGTCGGGCCCTGGGAGACTCGTCCGAAACTGTTTCGACACTGCTTCGACACTCTTTGGACACTTTCCCAGGTGCTCGAAGTCATTTCTTGGATGTGGTCCTTAAGTACGATGGGAGCAACAGAAGTCTTGGCGCCTCTTCTTCTTACTTCACTACGTCCCCGCCCCCACCCCTCCCTTGGGCCGCGCACGTTCCTCTGGCCAGGTCCCCTCGGAATCGGTCCCTGACTGTACCGTGGTACCTCGCTCGTTCTCGGCCTCAGGGGATGTCCCAATGTATGAGCAGAGAATGGCGGCCCTTCTCCAGAGAGTTCCGGAGACGGAGGCCAGGAGATCTGGCTAGTCGTCCTGATTTGTTCAGGTTTTAGTGCTGTGCACCTTCCCTTCTGGGCATTCCGATCCGATCCCTCTGGCCAGGATTCGGGGCATAGCTCGGACGTGTGCATGTTTCCTTCGGTGAGGACCATCGAGGAGCATCCTTGATCATTTGGCGAAAAAACCACGCACGAAACCGAAATAAAAACAGACGGAATGGACGTCCGAGCGACGGCGAGAGTGCTGTGCACTTCCCCTTCTGGGCACTCCGATCCGATCCCTCTGGCCAAGATTTGCACACACACACACACCTCTTGGGCGCCCGCGTTCCTTGGACGCCCCGAGCCTCCCAGCGAGCTCCGGCCGAGATCCGAGAGCACGGGTCCTCGGAGGATGCGCTCTTATCAGGAGGGGAAAAACACACACAGACACAATTCATCGTCGACTCCCCAGGAAAATCTTGGAAAATATGGGAAGCGGGGGGGAAGACGAGAACCTAGAGAATATGGGAAACTATTGAACATCCTGTTCTTTGTGCATGTTTATTTGTGTGCCCCAGGGCCCGATTCATCTTACGTGGTGATCCGGAGACTAGGGGTGTGCCAGATTCGCACCCGGAGGCGATTGAGTCCTTCTTGGACTCATCGGTGCAATTGCAGCAGAAATCACCCAGGCCTCCTAGATGGGGTCGGAGCACATGGGGTCGGAGGATCGAGCCGCATCGCCGAATCTTCGGCGATGCATCAGCGATGCGGCTCGATGAGGGGCCCAATTTTCTCCACGCCGACGTCGCCGATGCATCGCCGACGTCGCCAGTGCATGGCCGATGCATCGCCGATGCATCGGCAACGCATTGCCGATGTATCAGCGATGCGGCGAGATCCTCCGACCCCATCTAATCGGATCCCATCTAGAAGGCCTCTAAAACCAGGGTCAATGAGGAAGGACGCCCGAGTTAGACGGTAGGGGAAGCCCAGTTGCCCAGTGCAAGCCAAAAGTTCAGCTAGATGGCCTAGATATGATCCTGTACCAGACAGCTCGTTGCTTTTAGAATGGGCTCGCCAAGTTTTGTTGTTTTCAGCTTCCCTGTGGAGGGGTGCTTCGAAATCCACCTGTCAAGTTTGCCCGCAACCAGGAGGCCAGATATGATTGAATTTCAAATGCCGAGTTTTCATCCCCCTCGATGCCTCCGTGCTCCTTGCAAGGCACCAGCCGTCAGGCTGCGTCAGGGCATTGGTCTAGTCATGTCGTCAGGTGCACCTCTTGCGCTTCGCGTATCTGTACCAGCCCATCTTACAGAAACGGCCAAGCGAGCGGCCTTGATCAGGATAGTGTAAGCAGCAAGCAGTGGAAGAAAGAAGGGTGGCAGACGTCAATCCGAAGGTCGTCATTCAGCCCGAGCATACCCAGGAGTCAACCAGGCAGGTTTCATGGATCTTTTGATATGATAACCTCATGGCAGTTGACTTGGGCCCTTTTGGATAAAAGTTTCTAGGCCTTTGGGGCACTTCTGGGGTTTTCTGCGGGGCCTTGTGCGCCCCGTTGGGAATATTTTGGAGGCCGTCGATCAAAGAGGAGGGGTTCTCAATGTCGGCTCCCCTTCTGTCGGAGTTTGAATGATCGCATCATAGGGCGGCATTTCGGCGCTCATGTGCGCTCTCGGGGCCGTCTTGGAGCTTTCTTGGGCACCTCGTGTGGCTCTCTTGGCCCATTGGAAGTGAACCGGCGACTTGAGTTTTGACTGGTTCTGATCCCTTGGGGGCGTCCTCAGGAGGCTCACGGGCCACTTGGAACCGTGATTGGTCTGTGGTGGGGCCTCTGGGAGGCATGCTGGAGGCTCTAGTGCGCCACCTTGGGGTATATGTGGTGATCGCGGACGCAATGTTTGGCTATCTTGGGCGATTTGGACGTTCTGACCGCTCGAGCCCCCTTCCAAACCCAGAGGAGGGGAGGGTGAGAGGTAATTAAACCCCTCCCCGAAGGGAAGAGAGGGGTTGGAACAACGAACTCCCCAAACAACGCTGCCGACAGTAGGCAGCAGCTGATTCTGAGGACTTCAGACAGGCCGTGATCAGCTCGTATTCGTTGTTGCAGCTCTCTGCGATTCTAGCGCTGTGCTTTGCTTGGGGGACGGGGAAGTCAACTCGGAGAGTGCGAGAGGAAACGGCACGTTACGCTGAATTATGTCGTCGATCACACTACAAGGCTCTTTGCATGACGAGCCCAGCAGGGTCACTGAATGCCGCACCCTGCAGGCAAGGAGTGGTGGACGGGGCAGGCGAGCAGTGCTGGAAGGGTTTTGGAAGGGGGGGCGACGAGCCAGATGGCCGACTTCGGAAACCCTGAACCCAAAAATTTTGGCATCTCTTGAGAGGTCGACTTTTACTTACGCCGCCTTCTGCCATTCTTCCGTCGGCTTCCGCCGGAGGAGCCGCCCGCGTTTTGCTCCCGCCGATTTTCCCGCCGCCCTTCCGCCGCCTTCCGCCGCGGAAGAGGTGACAACTCCTTCGGTCCTCGAAGGCACGGCCTTTTTTGTTCGTCGCTCAGATTGTGAGCGTTTTCTTATTCGGCGTTTCGGCATCGGGCGGAAGGGGGGGAGGGGGGGGTCTGGCTCCGGACCTCTGCTTAGCGCGGCTGTTTGGAATCGTGCGTCCTCCGGGGGAGACCCCACCTGCTCGAAACAGGCACCAAAAACAGCCAGGATCTACTCCACGAAGAGGTGGGGGGGAGGCGGGGGGGTGCGAGGGCCCGCGCCGATCGGCAAAACAATGAATAACAAAAACCGGCGATATGGAGACACGGGAGGGACCCGTGTCGTTGTTTCCTCGCTCTCCCAGGTCTCCTGCATTCGCTGGGGTACACCCGTGGCCTTCTCAACGACCTGGGGTTCTCGGAGCGCGCGTGCCACCCGCTGCCGCCTCCCCGCTCCCTGCGGAGGCCCTCTGGAAATAGCTTGGGTTTCATGATGAGCCCGTTTTCCACCACCACCACCATAAGTTGGAGGGGGAAGGATGAGGAGGGCGAGCAGGAGGAGGACAAGGAGGAGGAGGATGAGGAGGACCATCAATGGTGGAAAACACGCCCATGAATATTATGACCAAGCGGTGGCGAAGCGTCCCAGTTCGCTCATAGGCCTACCAAAGAATGTTCTAAGAACCTCTTGTGGTCTGCACGAAATGATCTCGAATATTTCTGGCTGAGACTGTTTTGTTTCAACACATCTGGTCTTTGTTCTAAGAGCACTGTTTGTGTTCTTAGAACATTTCGTGGGTTCTAAGAACATGTCGTGGTAGGCCTTTCGGAATGCCGGGACGGTTGGCCCCTGCCCAAAATGAAGCACCAGTATTTAGTCGGGCATGTCCTTCTACAGGAGGAATATTGAAACATATTCAAATAATCGTATGTGGACGATGCTGTGCTATTATTGGCCATGTTTGAGCATTGTTTGGCTACTTCTCATTGTTCCTCCAACGTCCGCCTATAAGAGGTCACGCCCGACCTGACACCAGTAACGTATCGGTGGTCGTGGCGGCAGCAGCGGCGACATCACCGCAAAAAACAAGGCGACATCCTTGACATTGTTCCCCCTTACCCCAGCTACATCAACGGGTGCGACCCTGATATATCCACGGGAGGCATGAGTGTCGCATTCCGGAAGGGGACTGCGTCGCAGGAGGCGAAGGCCGATATGCATTTACATATTTGTCGTCAGCCCATATTTGTCCAATATTGTGAAATTGTATGGTTTCGTTTCAGCGCGCGTGCCCACGTACAGATGGTGTGCCTTTTACGTTCGTAATCGGTCGCGCGAGCAATTTCGATGCCAGTACTAAGGTTTCTCATTTGGTTGCCGTGACTGTCGCGTGCCTGTTTGCACGGATGGTTACGACTATTGTAGCCATGTGTGTCAGCCTGGTCCTTATTTGTCGCATTTGCGTGGGTATTCTTCTTCGTTGGCGGCGTTGCAATGCAATCACCGTTGGTTCTGGCCGAGCATTGTAGCGTGGCGTTGTGATGTCGGATCCGCTTTAGTTGTAGGTGCATTTTGAGATGGTTGCTCCGCCTTATCATTGCAGCTTCGGCCGCTGATGCATACTTATGGTAGCTTCAGAAGTTGACATTACCCTCTTTGGGTATGCATTATGGTCAGGTGTCACGGCGAGACAGGGGGTACGAATTAAGTATGTGTGCATTGATCTGTCGTTTCATCTAAACGTGGCATGGCCCAGAATTGATGCTTGGCATGGGGCGGCGCGGCGTGGTGTTGTTTGTTTTTGCGTAGCTTGGCAATGCTCAGCTTGAAGTCTCCCGGCTTGGATTGCGTGAGGGATGTCCTAGACATCAGCCTAGTCTGGCTTCGTCTAGTTTCGTTGTGTCTCAGGTTTGTTTTGAGGTCTCGTTTCATTTTTGTGGTTGACGTTGGCGTTGGAGTAGTGCATAACTTCGCGAGCTTGTGCTGAACACCCATATTTAATATGCATCAGGTTGATTGCGTCCTGTGGCGCTTGGTTAGCTTATCACAGTCAAGCGTGGCCTGTACCAGCTTTGCGTAGCGCAGCATATCAGCTTAGCTTACTATCCGCCAGCTTGCCCGAACAGCCTAGCGTAGCAGGGCACCGTTTGGCGTTACCACGGCTAGCTCACCTGAGCAACGCCGGTCCCCGTTTAGCCTCGATCTCAGTAGCCTAGCCTACCTTGGCGTAGCCTCGTGCATGGTCGATTAGCGCAGTATGTTTTGGCGTGACGCGGCTTCGTTTTTTTGTCTGTTTTGGTTTGGCCGTTCTTTGTTGACCTTGCCGTAGCACAGCTTAGCTTGGCTTTAGCATAGTTCGACTGGTGACCTTCGTTCGTTGTTGCTGCCATTGTGTGATTCCGACGTTCACAGGTGCAGTCAGTGTTAGCAGAGTTGCTGAATTGGCCTAATATGTTGAAGTTTCGGACTCGTCGGGTACCTTGGATAGTGACAGCTGCACCGGGCCCGCGAAAGGTTACAGGCCTTGCCTCGCAAATTTTGGCTTTGCTGGCTGGTGGCCCTCGGGAGGAGCGGCGTACGATTTCTTTCGGTGGTGTCGTTGCGTACTTGCCACCAGCGACCATGAAGGCGGTGTAATCCTTGTTCGCGGATCTTTCAATCATTATGTCTCTTCGCCTGCACACTTGCGTGGAAGGCAAGGGTCAGCGATTCGAGGCCTAGTGTGAGCCAGGACAGGGGGGGACGAGCGAGTTAGAGTGCCGATCCAGGTGGGCGGGGAGGTCATTATGGAGCAGGACAGGAAGCCAAGTTTAGTGCGGGCGCCATGCTGAGAACATGAGGGGGGAATGTGCAAGTGGTTGTGGCCTCGTGATTCGCCCGTTGTTGCAGGAACACCAGCGGGTCTCCACCATGTTGAAGTGCCCTTCCCTGTGTGGTGTTTCTGCGTATCTGTGCAGCTTGCGACGCGCATTTCGCCCCCCCACTGCATGTACATGTCCATGTTCACGAATTCGATAGAGCTGGCCTCGGGCTCGGAATCCCAGGGGGAAGGTTGGAAGCCTCACCCCCACCCCAGGTAGATGGAGCCGTCACGAGCAAGCAACGACGACGGCGGCAGAGACGGTCGACAATAACGACGGCGACGACGACGGCTATGCGTGACAGTTGCTTTTAATCCGTAAGGGCTTCGCCCCCTGCCGCCGGCCCCCTCTCTCGGAGAATGGGCCATGGAAGAGCTAAGTCATGAGGCCTTGGCGCTGTCGTGAAGCAGTATCGAAACTTCATGCGAAGCCGATTCGCAATCAGCAAAACCAACTGATCACAAGAGGGGTTACCACACCTGGCGATTGGTAAGACGTGTATGGTTTACGGGCTTGGTTACCACACCTTGCGATTAAAGGGCCGAGGGAGTTCTCGCAGTTTGGGTTACCACGCCTTGCGATGGATGTGCGTGAAGGGTGGCACCGAATTTCAGAAATGTGGCAAATCCCCTGTGTTTTTGGACCCTGACCCCGCGGATCTGCGTGAGGGGTGGCACCGAATTTCAGAAATGTGGCAAATCCCTGTGTTTTTGGACCCTGACCCCGCGGATCTGCGTGAGGGGTGGCACCGAATTTCAGAAATGTGGCAAATCCCATGTGTTTTTGGACCCTGACCCCGCGGATCTGCGTGAGGGGTGGCACCGAATTTCAGAAATGTGGCAAATCCCATGTGTTTTTGGACCCTGACCCCGCGGATCTGCGTGAGGGGTGGCACCGAATTTCAGAAATGTGGCAAATCCCATATGTTTTTGGACCCTGACCCCGCGGATCTGCGTGAGGGGTGGCACCGAATTTCAGAAATGTGGCAAATCCCAATGTGTTTTTGGACCCTGACCCCGCGGATCTGCGTGAGGGGTGGCACCGAATTTCAGAAATGTGGCAAATCCCTTGTGTTTTTGGACCCTGACCCTGCGGATCTGCGTGATGGGTGGCGCCGAATTTCCGAAATGTGGCAAATCCCTTGTGTTTTTGGACCCTGACCCCGCGGATCTGCGTGAGGGGTGGCACCGAATTTCAGAAATGTAGCAAATCCCATGTGTTTTTGGACCCGACCCGCGGATCTGCGTGAGGGGTGGCACCGAATTTCAGAAATGTGGCAAATCCATTGTGTTTTTGGACCCTGACCCCGCGGATCTGCGTGAGGGGTGTCGATTTCGAGCCCCCCCAGCAATTCAGACAACGCGCCCAGGAGACGCTAAAAATCCTGTTTGGGCCTCCCCCCCCCTCACGCGGTCAATCAACTAGTTACAGTAACCAGCAAGAAGCAGAACTGTAACACTGGAAACTACAAGCTACAACTGGTACAGGAAACTGCGAATCACGGGCCTACAGCCTGGTGGCCCCACAAGGGGGCCGGCGGATTTCCCGCCCGCCCGCCCGAGTGAACGTCCTTTCCGCGCATCGTCGTGGTCGCCGTCGTGTTCGTCGCCGTTGTCGTTTATGTTTTACGTTTCCTTACCCCGACCATTGTCCTATCAACCAGTCGGAAGTAGTTTCAACATACCGCATCCGCCTGATTGTACGTCCCTTCCATCCGTCGTCGTCTGCGTCGTCGTCAGTGGTTTATCTTGTATTCCTTCAACCTTGTCCCACCAATGAGAAAGATTCACATGTGATTTGCCGCCCCCCCGCCCAAGTGAACGTACCTTCAACACGTCGTCGTGCGAATCGTCGTCAGTGGTTTGTCCTTGGATTCCTCCAACCTTGTCCCATCAATGAGTTCGAATTGCATTTCATGCTCCACATCGTCGTCACTATTGGTTCTGGTATATGTTCCCCTACCTGATCCTTCGCATGAGAGGGAGTGTCTTGCAATATCCCGGCCGCCCGACAGAACGTTCATTCGGCCCGATTTCTTCCTCGTCGTAGTTGCAATGGTAACCTCCACCTTGCAGGAAGGTTGCTTTCGATGTTCCGCCCTACTGAACGTCCTTTCCGCGCCTCGTCGTCGTCGTCGTCGAGGTCGTCGTCTCGTCGTCGTCGTCGTCTCTGGGCGCCCCCTCCCTCCCCCCCCCTTCCCACACCCTCCCACCCCCTTCCCGGGGTGGAGGGGGGAGAGGTTTGCCCCCACTTCGCCACTCCGGTTTCTGAGGAGGAGGAGGAGGAGGAGGAGGTGACCATGTTTCAAAAATTCGTGATGTTGGCCCCCTGCGACTTTGGCTAGCAACAGTCGACGAACGGTCACCGATGAATCATACTCGCTCATCTTCTACACTCCGCGTGCAAAACGAACGGCAGAGGCCTCTGACTTGCAGCCTGCACCTTGTTCGTGAGCTGTTGCCGGCGAAGACTTTTGCGCGAGGACCCGAGGGCAGTGAGCAGCGGATCGGGGCCTGTTGATGCAGCAGGCATGTCGCGGGTGGACAGACCTCCTACCTTGACACGTCGATTAAGGAATTGGCCGTTTTCGGTTCACCAGAGGGCGTCGCGGCCATCATTTTTGCGGGTCCAGGTCCGTCGGTTTCGGTCCCAGCCCGTTTTCACTAAGAGGAACTGTACTAAAGGGAGGTTTGTCCACCGCCGAGCATGGCTTGGTCAAGGTTGACAGCGGAGAGGCGGGCGGAACGCTGCTTGCGTGCCAGCCCGGCGAGAGGTACGCGGTGCTCGGAGACACAGCCGAGCCGCCCGCGGTGCGCCTGCCCCCGGCGTGCCCGCAGCCACGCCCGAGCGCACGGCCACCTCGCCACCGTTTTTTGTTTTTCGTATTGTTGCTTCGCCGATCGGCGCGGGCCCGAATGAAGAGACTCCAAGGAGGAGGAAGGGGGAGGAGGGGGAGGAGCAGGAGGAGCAGGAGGAGGAGGAGGAGGAGGAGGAGGAGGAGGAGGAGGAGGAGGGGGAAGAGGAGGAGGAGGAGGAGGAGGAGGAGGAGGAGGCGAGGTGGAGTCCTAGACCTGCCCTCGGCGGCCCCTTCTCCTCCCGTCTACTCATCCTCCCCTGGTTATCTCCATTATTATTGTGTCTTGATTGTTCCTCTCCCTCTCCCTCTCTCTCATTGGTTGTTGTCTCTCTCTCTCTCTCTCTCTCGCTCACATCCGCCAAGAAGAATTTTGACTAAGAAGGCCGGCATGACATGTCCCTCCTCTCCCATGGTCTGCTCCTCCTTTCGCCCTCCATAGTGCTACCCCGCTCGTCCAGGTCTTCCCTTGTTTACCCCCTGTCTCCGTGAGTTCAGGTCGGGCTTGATGCTAAGTTGTTTGGTGTTTCGCGCGAGCATGCCTTGCACTATTATGCTAACCTTTCGGCTATGATACCGTGGTGCTGGTCGTACATTGCCCTTCTCGCTCGTCCTCAGAGTTGCCCCGGCACAGGCCTTTCTTTGCCTCTCTGGCCTGCGCCCTCGGCTTGCCTCAGCAGCCTATGCCGTTCACTGGCAATGGGAACCGCTGCATGTCGGCCACGCGTTTCCTGTTAAAAAGCTGTACAATCAACCCGCATAGCAAGGATGAACGACTTTCTAAGGTTACCCTTACATCCGTTCCCTTCGGCCCATCCGTGGCCGTTTTCGCTGGCCGCGCTCTGCTCGCAACGTGTCCACATGGCCTTCCAAGGCCCTTGCATCCTTACCTGTCGGTCGTTGGAAGTCGGTATTAATGGATTCCCAAAATCAAGATCTACTTTAGGCGCTTTCCTGCTTCAAGGCTCGAGCGGTCTTCCCTCTCCCATCCTCTTCGTGGAGCGGGCTGAACCGCAATCTGTTCCCAACGGCTTGCCACTTCATGTTTCAGCCCACCTTTTTGTTTCGCTCGTGCCGTACCTCGCCGGCCTCATCCCGATGCCTCACAACCCAGCCTTCGGCGTGTGGCGTCATCCACGTTTTGGCGCCAGCTGTGGAAGCATGTTGTCCGCTCCCATCTCCTCCCTTCACAGAGAGAAGAAAAAGGTCTTCCCGCCGACGAGCATCGTGCGTCCTTGGGTTGGCTGCACCCCACTGGCCCGCACCGCCGCCGAGGTGCCGCCCCCGCTGACGGCGTGCCAGCAGGCCTGGGTGCGGTGGCGAGTGCTGGTGCTGAGCGGCCACGGCCCCGGCTGGGAGGCGGGCAGGCAGCAGGCCTCGACAGAACGTTTTCCTCCTCCTCCTCTCGAAAACGTCATCCTCCTTCTCCTCCTCCTCCTTCTCGCTCCTCCTCCGCCACCCTTCCTTCCTCGTCCCCCTCCGCCTCCTCATCCTCCACTGTCTCCGTTTCCTCCATTGCCTCCAATGCATTCGCGCTGTGCAAAAATCGCGACGGGTGGGTGGTTTTTCGCTGTTGTCGGCTTCCGGGGACTCGGGGCCGTCAAAGTCGGCTCAGGATGAAAAAGGCCGGTCCCAGGGAAGGGGTCGAGACCTCTGGGGGAAATCACGGCGTCGGGGGTCTGGGGACGGGACTCGTACGAGGATGCATTCGTTCCAGAGCCTTCCAGACCTCTCTCGTGGTGGAACGCTCTGGGAAGGCCGCGAGGCCGCGGCGCCTCAGACATCCTCCAGAGCCGCGGGAACTCAGCTCACCCGATGTTTGCCCTCACCCTGGCCTCGTCTTAAGAAGTTTGCTGGGGAGGGGGGCTGGAGGAGACCGTCATCCTGCAGTCCTCGAGCACTCTGGCGCAGAAGAAGAATTCCTGTTGAAATCAGCCACAGAAGGAATGTTGCTGTATTCAGAGACTAATGGAAAGCCATGTTGTGAGCCTGCAACACGAGGAAATCATCTTGTGATCCGCCACGCAAGGACTTGTGTTATGATTGCTTTGTCAGAAACCGCCGCGAAAGGATTTCTGTTGTTAGGCCGCCGGCTGAGGAGAAGGCCGGGGAGTTCCTGAGTTACGGGCCTCGAGAGGCTGAGAAGAGGCCTGGGGAGGGGGAAGGCGAGGAGGAGAGAGGATAGAGGAGAAAGGAGGGGGAGGAGGTGGAGGAGGAGGAGGAGGAGGTGGAGGAGGAGGAGGAGGAGGAGAAAGAGGAAGAGAGGGCCGGCCAGCGGGAGGTGGAGGAGGAGAGAGAGGGAGGAGGAGCAGGAGGGACTTGCCTCTTGGCTTACCACAGCATGGTTTAAGATGCTGTTGTTTTTGTTACGACATGTCCGAACAAGTATTGTTGAGACATTGCTGTGCAATCAACCAGCTGCATGGTTTTAAGAACAGTGCTGTTGTTGGTCTTCACACTTGACTTCGCTCTGGGAACATGTCGCGCTTGGCCTGTAGGACTTCCGGGGCGGTCAGTAGCTGCTCCACGCTCCCCTCTCCTGCAGGGGGGGCCGCGCCAGCGCCGAGGCCACATACGGATCATGGAGCCCATAGCCCGACCGCTCATCCGCTACGCGAAGGCGTCGGTCTCTCTCCCGCCCCCCCTACTCTGCGACGCGGGGCCCCCCGGAGCCCTCCCGCCGCGCCCCGCCTGCCCGCGGCACACGCAGGGCAGGTTGCAGCCAGCTGGGGGTCCCGAGGTGGCCCAACACTGGTCCCGGCCAGCAGGAAGGGGGGGGGGGGGGGCAGGTCAGGCTCGAGGGTCTGGGTTCGCACAGCTCCCTTTTCCCAGCCTTCCTGTGGTATTGGGCCCTCGCTTTGGAAAGGCAGGGCCCCGCCTCCTCTCCTCCTCCTCTCCTCCGCTCCTCTCCCCTCCTCCTCCCCTCCCTCCTTCTATTCCTGCATCTGCTCTCCGCGTGCCACTATCACTGTTAGCACCGTCCTGCCGTTATCCGCATCGTCATCACCATAGCCATAGCCATCATCCGCATCATCATCATCATCATCATCATCATCATCATCATCATCATCATCATCATCATCACCATCACCATCACCATCACCATCACCATCACCATCACCATCAACGACATCATCATCAACATCATCAGCAGCATCATCATCGTCATCATCAATACCACAACAATCTCCAACATCACCACCATCACCATCATCGTCATTACCATCAGCATCATCATCATCAGCATCATCATCATTACCACCACCACCACCATCATGATCATCACCATCATCACCATCATGTTCATCACCAATACCACAACAATCACCAATCTCACAACTATCGCCATCATGATCATCAGCATCAGCATCCTTACCACCATCATCATCATCATCATCATCATCATCATCATCATCATCATCATCACCATCATCATTCTCATCATCATCATCTTCATCATCACCATCACCATCATCACCATCATCATCATCATCATCATCATCATCATCATCAGGTCCCCGCGGGACATGGCCGACGCCGATACAGCGCGGCTGCCGCCGCGCCTCGGCTGGCTGGGGATCCCCCTCCCTTGGCAGCCCTCTGGCGCCCGCTGCACCACGATCCCCGACGCCGTGCCCGCCAGCGAGGCTGCCTCGCGGCTGCGGGCGTCTGGGGTTGACTTCGCACCGGGGAGCGGCACGGCTCTCACCGCGGAGGCGCAGGCCGAGATCGCTGGCGGCCCGTTCCCAGAAGCCCGTCGTCCTGACTTCTGTCACCCACGGGGTCCCCAGGAGTCTCGACCCAGTCCCCGGGACCGGTTTTGCATCCCGAGTCGCCTGTGGACGGCCCCTGGAGGCCGAAGACTGCAACAAAACCTCCCTCATGATTTTCCAATACGTTGGATCTCACCACCCACCAAACCACCCCAACCCAACCCGAAGGCTCAGATTTACCCTCGATTTCCAGTGGGGGGGGGTCGGGAAACATCGAAAAAACACCTGTGGAACCCTTACCCCCCCCAACCCGAAATTCGGGTCTTCGGGTTGGGTTGGGGTGATCTGGTAGGTAGTCAGGATCCATGGGCTCGTCGCCAACGCCCCCGTGTCGGACGTCTTCAGCTTCGTCGGGGACGTCGACGGCTCCCCTTCGGCCCCGCGCGCGGTCGCCGGGGTCGCGCCGCGAGCGGGGGCCCCATCGGCCGGCACACCCCGTGGGGCTCGACGGCGGCGCGGCGGGCGCCCCCGAGGCTGCCAGAGGTGCCGCGGCTCTTCCGGCGCCTCGCGGCGTCGAGGGTGGCTGACAGGCAGATGTTGTCCACCACCACTACCACGAGTATGATGAGAGGAGGTTCTCCTCCTCCCTTTCCTCCCCTTCCTCCTCCTCCTCCTCCTCCTCCTCCTCCTCCTTGTTCCTCCTCCTCCTCCTCCTCCTCCTCCTCCTCGTTCCTCCTCCTTGTCCTCCTCCTCCGCCTCCGCCTCCTCCTCCTCCTCCTCCTCCGCCTCCTCCTCCTCCTCCTCCTCCTCCTCACCCTCCTACGTGTTGTATTGGTAGTGAAAAAATGGGCCCATCAGTGGCTCCCGCCTCCTCCAATGCAAGCTGGAGGGGGCCCCGGCGGCGGCTGCTGGGGCGCCTCCTCCGCGGCCTCGACACCCTGCGGGCCACGAGGCTATGGTTAAGTCGAGCATGTCCCTCTACAGGAGGAAAAATCAAAAATGGTTTATCAAATATGGGGACGGTTATCCCAGTATATTGTAACCACTTTTGAAGATTTCTTATAGTGATTTTTAAGGTGTCCATCAAAGTCTGCCTGTATGGGGGACATGCAGCACCTAACCCTCCTCCTCCAGCACGAGCTGGTGGGGGCCCGCCGGCGGCTGCTGGGGTGCCTCCTTCAGCGGCCCCGACGCCCCGCAGGCCGCGATGCTGTGGCGCAGCATCGCAGTCGACGCCGGCCCCAGCGGAGCCTGCTCTCGCATGTTGGCCGGGGGGGCAGTGGCACCTGCTGGCTTCCGGGGCTCAAGAGACAGGAGTCAATGCAAACGGGGGTCAACCAGAGCGCCGAATCTTGCAGGATCTTGCAGGGCGAGGGTCGCATTGACCCGGGCTTGGGTGCAGGATCCTGCAGGTTTTTGCAGGAGGTTGCAGGATATTGTCAGGTTTCACTGACCTGGGCCTGGATTGGCCCGGGTCAGATGATCCCCGAGGTTTGCAATCCCGCACGCGCGGTGCAGGCTGCGCCTAGCCGCTGCCGTCGAGGACGTAGGCGAGGAAGTGCAAAAGTTAGGGGAGGCGCTCGGCAGGCGCGCTGCTCACGCCCTGGCGTGCCCCCGGAACGCCACGAGGCTGCGGGTCTCACACCGGGGCCGTGCGCGGCCACGAAGAGGAGCTGCACTCCGCAGGCGCCGTCGTCGACCTGAAGCGGCGGATGCCTGAGCTCTACCAAACGTTGCAGGACGGTGCGATCCAGGAGGCGGTCATGAACCCATGAACCTCGTCGTCCGAGCGCTGGTGGCTGGACGTCCGGTCGCCCTTCCATGTATCGCTGGCCGACGCGGGCCGCGTTCCTGGGGCCGGAGGTGCCGCTGGCAACAGGGCCAAGGCGAAGCGCTGCGGCGAGCATGTGCGCAGCGTCGCTGTCGAGGCGGGCGGCCGTTTCAGCGCCAGCGCCGCCGCGGCGATCGCGGAGCTCGCGGCTGCCTCGCTGGCGCGCGGCCGCCCGCAGCGCGACGGCCGCCGGGGCGCCTCGGCGCGGCGGCTCGCCGAACGGCCCTGCACCGCCGCGGTGCACGGGGCTGCGGACGCCACGGTGGCGGCCACGGGCCAGCAGATGTGGGCGAGGAGGAGCGGTGGAGCTGCGGAGGGTAGGGTGTTTGCGATCTGCGACGTGCAGTCGAACTTCGGCCGCCTGGACGTGTCCGAATCATCGTCAGCATCAGCAGCACCCCTCGCACTGCGCGTGGCCCCATAGGAAGCTCCACCGAGGGTCCCAGTGGCAGGGTCCGCGTGCGCTTGACGCCGATTCCGGCGCACCCCTCGCACTTTTCGCAGCCCCACAGGGAGCGCCACCGATGGCCGCAGTGGCAGGGCTCGCATGCGCCCGACGCCCATTTTGGCAGATCCCTCAGAAGTTTCGCGGCCCCGTAGGGAGCTCCACCGAAGGTCCTTGTGGCAGGGTTCGCGCGCGCCCGACGCCCAATTTGGCAAACCCTTCACACTGTTCGTAGCGCCATCAAGAGCTCCACCGAAACAACAGGAAAAACTATGGAACTCCACCGATAGGTCCTAGCGGCAGGGTCCGCATGCGCTTGACGTCCATTTTGGCGCACCCTTCACACGCTTCGTGGCCCCATAGGGAGCTCTTCCGAAGGTCTCAGTGGCAAGGCCCGCATGTGTCCGACGCCCATTTTACCACACATCTCACACGGTCCGTGGCCCCGTGGCGGGGTCCGCGTGCTTCCGACGCCCAATTTGGCACGCCCTTCACACGGTCTGTGGCCTCGTGGGGAGTTCAACCGAAGGCCCCAGTGGCAGGGTCCGCGTGCGCCCGACGCCCATTTCGGCAAATCCGTTCACACTCTTCGTGGCCCCATAGAGAGCTCCACCGAAAGCCCTGGTGGCAGGGTCCGCTTGCGCCCGACGTTTATTTTGGTGGGGCCATTCTGAAGTCCTTCTGCTGCCCTTATCCTTCGCCTCGCCCGCCTCGCGATATTCGCAGCTGCGGATGGTTGAGCCATTCGTCAGGCTAACATTTTGTTTGTTTCGTTTTTTCGACCTCCAGGGCGCACCTTTCGAGCCCGGGGACGGTCAGAAACGCATCTGGAACGAAAAATTACACCAGATGGGCCTTTCGAGGGGTCCGGTGCTTGATTTTCAACGGATTTGGCTTCACCCCTCCTCCTGATTGATTTTCTGGGGTCCCCCTGGCCGCGTCCAATGTTCAAAGTCGACGAAGGGGGGGTTCCAAGGGGCGGCCCTTGCCCAAAGGGGCCGCTTCTGGTAGTGGAGCGAAGGGCGGTAAAACAAAACAAAAACAAAAAAACACTTTTCCGCCGTCGGGGGCGCCTGCCCCCTGGGCGGTTGCAAAATTGATACCCGTGCGGTGCGTTTCCCAGCCGTCTGGGGGGAGGGCGTCCCCGACGGCGTGAAAGTTTATGTTGTACCGCCTTTCGTCCCCTGAGCATGGGGCTACCTCGGGCCAGGAAACACTGTGCCCGCGACTGGATTGGATGCGCCGTGGGCCAGGAACACTTGTGGCAACCTCCAGGACGAGACGGAGTGAATTAGCACCCACCAAACCGCCCCAACCCAACCCGAGGCCCCGATTTGCCCTACATTCCCAGTGGGCTGGGGGGTCGTTGGTGAACATCTACAAATTCACAGTGGATTCCTTTCCTCCGCCAAACACCCGATAGTTGAGTTTTCGGGTTAGGTTGGGGTGGCCTGGTAGGCAGTCAGTGCAGAGGGGGGGGGAGGAACTTGGGAGGGAGAAGGAACAGTCCGGGCAGGAAAGCGGTAGGCGACGGGCGGGAGGCTCAGACGTCCAGCGTCGCGAAAAACAACAGCTGAGCGGCGCACGGACTGTGATATCGGCAGGGGGAGGGCTGTGGGGAGAACCCAGATCTCCTCGCATCTGGAAAAAGATCGCATTCGTCGGTGTTTTGCCGAATACGTAAGGGTGGTTCACGCTTCGCTTGTTCCCGCCGGCCTGTTCAAGCACCCTGCTCATGAGAGATTACGGGGATATGGACGAAGAGACGCATCTAGCGATACAAAGTTCGGCGGGTCTTTGGAAAATGGTGACAAGGGGTAGGGATGAAGAGGAGTAGGAGGAGGAGGAGGAGGAGGAGGAAGAGGAGGAGGAGGAGGAGGAGGAGGAGGAGGAGGAGGAGGCAAACCGCCTCTTGGGGCAGTCGTGAGACGCTCTTCGGGCGATTTTGGGGCCGTCCTGGAGCTCTCTTGGGAGCCGTGGAAGGCCTCTTGAGGCCATCTTGGAGGCTATCGATGAAAGGAGGGGGGTCTCCGATTTCCCCCCCCCCCCCCGGAGCCATCACAATCGCCTCTTGGGGCGCTCTTGGGCGGCTCTTGCGCACTCCTTGGGGCCATCCAGGGGGCCTCTCTTTGGCCCCTCCTTGGGCCTCTCTTGGGCCTCACCTTGGGGCCATCGTGAGGCCTCCACGGCGCATCGGACGCGAAGAGGCGAGAAGGCACAAAACAATACTTTCACATGCAGCCCCGGCGAGTTTTCCACCACCACTACCATAGGAAGGACGGGAGAGAAGGGATGATGGGGAGGTCCCCCCCCCTCCTCCCCCTCCTCCTCCTCCCCCCCCCCGCCTCCTCCTCCTCCTCCTCCTCCTCCTCCTCCTCCTCCTCCTCCTCCCCTCCTCCTCCACCTCCTCCCCTCCCCTCCTCCTCCTCCTCCTCCTCTCCTCCTCCCCCCCTCCTCCTTTTCTCTTCCTCCTCCTCCTCCTCCTCCTCCTCCTCCTCCTCTCCTCCTCCTCCTTTCCCTCCTCCACCTCCTCCCCCTCCTCCACCTCCTCCCCTCACCCTCCTCCTCCTTCTCTCCTCCTCCTCCTCCTCCTCCTCCTCCTCCTCCTCCTCCTCCTCCTCCACCTCCTCGAGATCCCCTCCTCATGCACGCACCCCGCGCTCCCCCCCCCTCCCCCCGCCTGTGCGGCCGCCCTGCTCCCCGCCCGGGCGCGCCCTGCGACCCGCGAGGCCGAGAACGCGCCGCCCCTGTGGCTCGTCGCCTCATTCCCGGTTGGGGCGGGCGGGCCGCCCTGGAGGAGGACGAGGACGTCGAGGAACCCCGTTCGACCTCTCCTCTCGGGCCCCCGTCCGTGTCTCCCCCCGAGCGCACCTCGTCGGCCCCCATCCACGGGCGGAGCGGCCCCTCTTCGGGACGGCCCCCCAGCCTGCGGCACCGGTCGGTGCCTGCAGGAGGGGGCCACGGGCAGCACCTCCGCGAGGATCCACATACCATTTAGGAGAGGGAGAGATGCAGAGGAACGCCGTCTGACGTTACGTCCTCCGTATTCACTCCTTGAGGAGCTCTCGTGGAGCTCATTCGGGCCGTGCTGGGGCTGTGTTGGCCTCCTCTGAGGCAGCCTCGGGGGATCCGTGGGACCCTCTTGGACCGTCTCTGGGCACCCCTCGGCCGGGCCGTCTTGACGCTCACTTTGGACGTCTTGGGGCCCTCTTGGCCGCATGGGGCCCTCTTGGGTATTATTGGGACCCTTTCGGAGGCCTCTTGGATCGTCTTGGAGCCATATTGGAGGTTTCTCGGGCCGTCTTCAGATGACGGGGGCTCGAAAAGGGGGGAAATTGTACAATTATGTTTAATCCAAAGGGCAACTTATGATGTTGGTATCTTCGGGCCCCGTTAGGGGTCCTTCTCTTGGGCCTTCGTGGGAGGTACCCTGTATCATTTTGATGCAGTCTTGAGCCAGCCTTGGCCATCCTAGGCCGTCTTTGAGGCTTCTTGGGCCATCTTGGCAAGCTTGGTTGCATGCATGGGCCGTCCTTGGAAGCCTGGGACGCGGTTCCATCGTTGTCTCACGAGGGAGCTCGGATCCGTAGTTTTTGGCGAGAAAGCGTGGCCTCGTGGCAGGAGTGGGGGGGCGATGCGCGCAGATGGGTGCGATGAGAGGTGGGGGGCCCTCTCAGAATAATACAGAAGGCCTGGCACATAGCACTTGGCATTATACCACGCCTCGGCGTTTCTGGGGTGGGGGGGGCACGGTGGCGGATGTTTCGCCGGCCTCTCTTGCCGAAGGCGCGGTTCTGGCGCCCCGCCCCTGTGGAAGCTCGTCCGTGCTCGGACGTTGGGCTCATCGAGCCCGTCCAGACGCGAAGCCCAGGCGAGCTGCCTCCCTACGAGGAGCGTGCAGTAGCAGGGCAGTGGAAGGGGCAGCCGTCAGACCGAAGGGCGGGATCGGCCTGAGCAGGTCCAGGTGTCCACCAGAACTGCTGTTGGGAGTGTTTCGGCACTTGAGGCATTTTCGGGGACGCATTCGGGACGCTCTTGGCGTCGTTTTGGAGTCACCTCTTGGGCCATCTAGCGATCATCTTGAGACCCATGGAGTCGGAAACGAACAGGTGAGAATGCACACATCATTTGTCTTCCGTAGGTTTAAGTCAGGCCTGTCCCTTCTACAGGAGGAATATTCCCAAATAGTCCAAACATATTCCTGTAACGATTTTCTGCTTTACCATGTTTGAGTATTTGAGAGTATTTGTTTGACGATTTTTATTTTTCGCCCAAAATCAGCCTGTAGGGGGACATGCCCGACTCAACCGTAGGATCGGAGGGGGGTTGGCGTCTCGGGGGCGGCCCTGGGAGGCTCCGTGGCCCTTTGGAACCGAGCTGGGGTGGTTCGGGGGCCTCCGGAAGGCACCCTAGAGTTAAGCCGGGCGTGTCTCTCTACAGGGGGAATGTTCAGAAACAGTCAAAGCACAGTATGCGGACGATTGGTTGACCAGTGTTTGATTCTATAGGCTTACGCCACATCCGCCGACCCCTCATCTTGGCGGTCTTGCCGGAACCTCGGGTTCACAGCCCGCAGTTGCCAGGCGTATCAGTGCGGCGGCGCGTGCAAGAGAAGACTACCGACGTCGGCGTTCTCCGGGAACCCTGCCAACGTCGCACGCGATGCAAAAAAGGGCACCCTGATATGCAAGACCTGCAAATGATGCCCAATCGGGGGCGCGCGTGCGGGGGAGGACAGGGGGGAGGGGGAGAGAGGGATGGGGGGTGAGGCGGAGGATGGGGGGAGAAGAATCGGGGAGGAAGAGGAGGAGGCGGGGGAGGAAGAGGAGGAGTGGGCGAGGAGGAGGTGGAGGAGGAGGAGAAGAGGGGGAGGACGGGGACACAGAGACGAAACTCTGGGATATGTGCTATTGGTTAGAAACTTGTTGTATGTGTATAGGGATCTCGCGGCACGCCTCTCGGGGACCTTTGGAAAGCAGTTTTGAACCCACCTGGCGGCCGAGGTGGAGGAGGAGGAGGAGGAGAAGGAGGAAGGGGACACAGAAACAAGGCTCTGGGTTATGGGTTTTGGGTTAGGGCCGTCTTGCACCAGCTTGGGACCAATTTGGAGACAGGTTTTGCCGTCTTGGGGTCGTCTTAGGCCGAATTGGGAGGCGTCCTGGGCCGTGTTGGGATTCTCTGGGGCCGTCTTGAGGCCCTCTTGGGGCGCCGTGGGGCGATCTTGGAGGCTCTTTGGGCTACGTGAGCCGACGGAAGCCGGGAAAGGCAACAATTGCAAACATGTTCAACAACGCAATGGAAATGTAATGAAATGCGTAATGTGCGCCTCTTTCAGATGTCCTGGGGGTCTTCTTGGAGACTTCGTGGGCGATAGTGAAAGCCTTGTCGGCCATCTTGAGGCCATTTTGGGCCGTCTTCGAACGTTCTTGGGCCGTGTTGGAGCCATCTTGGGCCGTTTTGGAGCCATCCTGGGCCGTTTTGGAGCAATCTTGGCCTCGAGAGCGCGAATCATTTTTTTGTGCGCAAACGCAACCCCGCCACCGTGCCTGGGTTGTTGATATGAGACTTGTGCGGTGATCGTTGGGATCTCTTGGGGGGCTTTTCGCGGGACTCTTGGAGGCAGTTTCGAAGCCTCTTGGGGGCCGTTTTGGAGCCTCTTGGGGGCCTCTTGGGGCCTCTTGTGGGCGTCTTGGGGGCCTCTTGGGGCCTCTTGGGGCCTTCTGGGGCCGCCTTGGGGCGGAAGGCTCGGATTGTCGGTTCGGGCTCCCCCTCTTGGGCACCTCTTGGGGCCGTCTTGGGGCCCTCTTGGGCTGTCTTGGGGGCCTCTTGGGCCGTCTTGGCGCCCTCCTGGGCCGACTTGGGCGCCTCTTGGGGGCCTCTCGGGGCGGTCTTGGGGTGCTCTGGGACCGTCTTCAACGCCGTGAAGGCCGAGAAGTAGTATGTGATCAAAATGTACGTTTTCCCATAGGAATTGACGATTTTCGGCGCTTCGGCCCTTCTGAGGACTGCTCTTGGAGGCGTCTTGGGCCGTCTTGGAGGCCTCTAGGCTCGTCTTGGGGGCATCTTGGGCGTCTGGGAGCGCTCGTTTGGCGCCTCGGAGCTCTCGTGAGCCGTCTTGGAGGAGTCTTGGGGCCTTCTTGGCCCGTCTTGATCCCCTTTTGGGCCCAAAAGAGCCCCGTGGTGCGCTCGTCTGCGGCCCGGGGGGGGGGGGTCAAATCTCCGGTTTGGGGTCCCAGGGGGGGGGTTAGGGGGGGGGAACTATCTCACACGCCTAGAGACCCACAAGGGGTCGGCGGATTTTTTCTGAGTATGTTTTGGGTATTCTTGATTTTTCGTCCAAGATCCGCCTGCAGGGGGACATGCCCGACCTGACACTAAAGGACCGATTGAGCATTCCTCAACCGCCCTTCGCCGTCTTGGACGCCAGTCTGAGAGGTCTTGGGTTGGCCCAGGAGCCGCCCAAGAATTCCCCCGACATGCCAAAGTCATCATCCAACATCGTGGTGTTTCAACCAATGTGGCGTCGTTTGGAGGGGGGATCTGAATTATGGCCGCCCCTGTTGAGCCCGCGACACAGCCTCGTGGGTGCATATTGGGGCGCCCGTGGGCACTCTGAACCGACGTGGGGCGATATCCGGGTCGTGCGACGGCATACTGGAGGGCCGTTCGTGCCCTCGGGGACCATGACTCGCCATCTTAGAGGCCATCTCGAGATACCCAGAGCTGGCCCAGGAGCCTCCAAAGGATGCCCCAGATGTGCCAAAGTCGTGGGTGGCTCACTGAGTGTGGCTTCAGTTGACGGGGGGGGATCTTCATTTGGGCCGCCCCTGTAGAGCCCGAGGAATCGACTCGCTGGGTCATCTTGAGGCGCTCGTGGGGCGCGCTTGCAACCGCCTTGGATCCCTGGTCGGCCCCATGTTGGGCTCGAGTGGGCAATCTCAGAGCCGCATTGGGGCCTCGGAGGCCGAGCCGAAGGGAAAAGGCGAGAAGGCAATTGCCATTGGTTTCCCACAGGTTTTATATTGCCGTTGGCATCTGGAGGCATCTTGGGGCGCTCCGTGGTCACTTGTAGCCGTCTTGGGGGGGTATCGCTGGCTCTCTAGGCATAAGTCACACCAGATATTGTAGTGGCATCTTGGATGTAGTATGTGGCTCCCTGACGCAAACATTGCAGCCATCGTTGGCGAATGTGGGCGCTTTGACTCATCGCGGTGCCCCCCGTCCAGGCCAGGCCCAGGGGGGGGCGGGTGGAGGGGGAGGGGTCAATCTACCCGTAAGCCGCACGCCGTCTCGCTCACTCGCACCCGCCCTCCCGGCACAGAAGTGGCACCCGAGTCTCGGCATGCTCAGCGGTTGCCATCGGACGGATCGCCACTGGGCACCACTGCAGGCGCCAGTTGCGCGTCCTGGCGAGTTGCACCACGCGCACCAGGTGCGGCAGGCGCCCCAGCAGCCCAAGCGTGCCAGGTGCGCAGGGTATAATGTTTTCCCCGCTGGGAGGGGTTGGAAGAGGAAGCGCTCCAGACAGCATCAGCCCAGAGGGCTGCTTGGATGTGTCCTACCCCACGCGACGTGAGGTGCAGGCTTCCCGAGTATGCTTGCAGTTCTTATATTCCGACTGGAAATCGGCAGAGGGCCCCCCCCCCCTTGGCCCTTGGCTGTCAGTGCGCGCGCAGTCTCCGGAGAGCGCCTGGATTGCACCGAACTCATCCGCGTGCACCAGGGTGTGTGCGCGCTTGTGTGTGTGTGTGTTTGGGTGCGCGTGTGGTGTGGTTGTGTGTGTGTGTGGTGTGTGGTGTGTGGTGTGTTTGTGTGGCGGGAGGAATGCGTGTGTGTGTGTGTGTGTGTGTGTGTGTGTGTGTGTGTGTGTGTGTGTGTGTGTGTGTGCGCTCCGCTCTGAGCGGGCCCGGATTCCTCCCTCCCGCCGCCGCCGGGCGCTGCCTCCGTCCCGCCGCTGTTTGCATGGCGGCCGAATTCGCGTTCGTTCATCTTCAAACGCTTCACCGCCAGCGCAGTCACCCTGCCTAGCCGCCAACGCAAAAAAGTGTGTTTCTGTGTGTGTGTGTGTGTGTGTGTGTGTGTGTGTGTGTGTGTGTGTGTGTGTGTGTGTGTGTGTGTGTGTGTGTGTGTGTGTGTGTGTGTGTGTGTGTGTGTGTGTGTGTGTGTGTGTGTGTGTGTGTGTGGGGGGGTGAGTGTGTGTGTGTGTGCGTGCGTGTGATTGTGTGTGTGTGTTTGCGTGCGTGCGTGCGTGTGCGTGCGTGCGTGCGTGCGTGTGTGTGTGTGTGTGTGTGTGTGGCTGGGTGAGGGGGGTATGTGTGTGGTGTCTGTGTGTAAGGGTGTGTCGGTGTGTGTGTGTGGGTGTGAAAGTGTGTGTGTGTGTGTGTGTGTGTTTGTGTTTGTGTAGGTGTGCAAGTGTGTGAGCTTGTGTGTGTGATTATGCACGTGTGTGTGGGGTGCAAGTGTGTGTGTGTGTGTGCGTGCGTGCGTGCGTGCGATCCGTTTGTGCGTGCGTGGGTGTGTGTGTGTGTGTGTTGTGGTGTGTGTGTGTGTGTGTGTGGGTGTGTGTGTGTGCGTGTGTGTGTGTGCGTGTGTGTGTGTGTGTGTGGGTGGGTGGGTGGGTGGGTGGGTGGGGGGGGTGAGGCGGGGGGGGGGGGTAGGGGTGAGGGGGGGTGGGGGTGTGGGGGTGTGGAAGTGTGGGGGTGTGGGGGTGTGGGGGTGTGGGGGTGTGGGGGTGTGTGGGTGTGTCGGGGTGTGTGTGGGTGTGTGTGTGGGGGTGTCAGTGTGTGTGTGTCAGTGCATTTGTTGCGTATTTGTGATGTTTCGCCCAACATCCGCCTGCAGGAGGACACGCTCGACCTAACGCTAGGTTTGATTTCTCCCCTCACGCACCTAGCGCCCGGCCGAAGAGCCCCATGCAGTCCCTTTCCTCCCTTTGCCGCCTTCTTGCTCCAAACCCATGACCAGGACTGGCAGGGAGTACCTTGACCGAATTGCTCGTGGCCTCACCCCCTCTTCTCTCACGCTTGACTGCGCCACTGAGCAGATATGCGTCGACTGGCGTGCTCAGCGGCAAAAAACATGTCAATGCCATCCATCAGAGCAGAGCGGAAGGACAATCGCATATGACCGAAGCATTTCCCATGCGATGCATATTGTGAGTGCCGTTGTCTTGAGACCACGCGTGCACGCGTGCCTTCTCCGTCCAGTTTGATGCATTGGAAATGGAGGTGATGAAAGCTACTGCATCTATCATAGCCCCGCCAAACGTGAACCAGAAGGGGTGGAAATGCTGGCAGTTCTTCCGACCTTGCGGTCCGAATGCGTGTATCGTTGGCGACGTGACGTACATACGGATGCGACCAGGATGTGTTGGCCCAGAGGACGCAACAGGCTAGAACCACAGCGTTGCGCCTGAAAGATACCCCTGCCGTTCGAAGCCGATTGGTTCAAAAGGTTAGCGGGCATGGATGCACTGCGCTGGCAAGCGCCGATGGTTGTTTTGCACATTAGCTGAAATGCACAACCCGTGGGCTGGAGGTGGGGGAATGCACGAAGAATAACGACTCACAATCGCCCCCACGGTTTCGGACAAAAGTGAGGGGGCAGTGGGGTCGTCGGCAGTCTGCGAGATTTTGAAGAAGCCCGCCGCAGCCGCCGAGTTTCTACACATCACACAACAGCCTCGCCGCAGGCGCCGAATTCTCGTGAAAGCCGAGCGGGTGGATCGCGGATGGGTCGAGAGTGGGTAGCGGTTGGTCCGCGAGTGGGTCGCCGTTGGTTCGCGGGCGGGTCGCGGGCGGTTCGTGGGTTGGTTCGCGGGCGGATCGCGGGCAAGGACGGCAACAAACAACAAACCAACAGCAATAATCTTCACCGTGGAAGCCCACTTCAGGCACGCAGACCGTTCGGCCACCGCACTCTGACACGAGCCTTAATGTTTCGGAGGTCTGCGCAGACTCACTGGACCGGCGATGGAACCCCTGTCCTACGCGCGCGGAGCGCGCCAGGGCAGGCTCGGTGAGCGAAGGGCAGCCCCCGTCATCGCTTTATCAGAGCAGGGCGGGGAGGCAAAAGCAAGCATAACATGAATTCCCAAAAGAGGGACGCCGCGAGTCTTACGTGGGGGGCTTCCACGGGGGGCCAGCGGCGCTGCCCACGTCGCGCAGGGCTGGCCGCGCCCTGACCAGCCGGGCGCGAGGTCGGGCGCCCTCTCTTCGGCGTTGCCGTCCTGTTGGCCCGGCATCGCTGCTGGTCGGTGCTGCTGGTCGATCGGTGGGTCTGCTGGGCGGTGGAACTGTTGGTCGGCAGATCCGGAGGTAGGCCACTCGGCTGTTGCGATCGGTCAGTGCCACTGGTGGGCGGCGCTGCTGGTCGGGGGGCCCGCTGGTCGGCGGCGCTGCTGCGCTGCTGGTCGGTGGCTGTCGGCGTTGCTGCTGGTCGGTCGGTGGGTCGGGTGGTCGGTGGCGGGGCTGGTCGGCGGTGGTGCCGGCCGGTGGAGTGTCACGGGCGGCGAACATATCCGTATCCGCGCCTTCGCGGTCTGGGTTCCGAGGCGCGGGGCCGCGGATACGCCGTCGCACGGATCAGATCCTTGCGGGACGTTCGAGAAAATTTGCCACCTGGCCGCGGGGTCGCGGCCCTCGGGCCCGGCCCGCGAGGCCGCGGATGCAGAGATGGTTTTCGTCCATGGTGTCGTGCAGAACCGCGCAAGATCTCCTCAACGGTCGCAGCGATCGCGCGACTCACTGGGTGAGGGTGGCCTCTCTTGGGGCGCGGCTCACTGGGGGCCGCGAGGGGGCCGAACACGAGCGTATAGGACGCCAACACCGCCTCGCGCTCGGCGATCGGGGGGCGCGATTGGGCCCGCACCACGGGCCACCCCAGCGAGAGGTGTGCCACTAGCGGTCCAGGCGGCAGCGAGCAGAAGCAGGCGGTCGCCTCGAGCAGCGCTTCCCGATGTGCACCGCAGGGTCGTCCGCAAACCTCGGTGCGTGGGCTTCAGCTTCACGAGGCGCCCCGGATGCCCCAAGGAGGCCCCACGACGGCCGAAGATGCCCCCAAGAGGCTCGCAGGACGAGAGGTTGCAAGGACGAGGCAAGAGCACCAAAGAGGCGCCACGACGCACAAGACAGGCTGACCAGAAGCTCCAATCCGTTCCAAGCGAGGCGCCAGACGGTCAGCACGGTTAAGATCCCGTGCGTTGCTCGGCAGTGTTCGGTTGATGCGTTTTCTCGGTTCAGCACAGTTTCAGCAGGGGGCTTCAGAGAGCTCCCAGATAGCCTGCGAGGGTCCGAATAACTACCCCAAATGGCTCACCAGGGTTTCAAGAGGCGCCAAGATTGGTCAAGAGGGCATCCAGAGCAGTCCAAAACGGCGCAAGACGACTGTTCAAAGGCCAGATGGTTCGCAGGATGCCTACTTCGCCTCGGGAACATCCCACCAAAATAACCAGTTCAAAAAAAAAGCTTTGGGGTCAATGGTTGTGTCCTCCCGCCTGTGCCGTGGTTTGACGGCTCCAAGAGGCGCAAACGGCTTAATGGGCTTATTGGGCTCCCCGGTCGCGCCACGTGAGTTCCAGCACCCCCCGCGGATTTCCCATAAGTTCGCAAGCGACCCCAAGTTGCGCGCCCTTTCCATTGGCCAGTCGCACGGCGCATTCCGTTGTGCAGTCGGTTCTTCGTTGCCACACATTCATATACTACATAATACATAGTTGAAGAATATATAAACATATGTACATATATATATGCATATATGTATATACGCATATATATATGTATATATGTACAGATATATGCATCAAGCTGCACACCATCTGTGCTGATAATGTTGCATTGCGTGCTTCGTTCGTCCTTGTCTTTGAGCTACTTGATGACCGTACCGTTGGTCCGTTTGGTGATGGGAGGTTCTGCTCGCAGCCGTGGGCGTCGGGTTCCTCTCGCGGATAAGGCGTAGAGCCTTCTTTGGAAAGCATGCCACCAAGATTCTGAGAGGACATGGGGAAACACTAAGCGAGGCATGGCCACGCCTTTCGCCAAGATAGGCTTCTGTGTCTCTGTTCATGTCTGCCTGCTTGTAGACGTCGCCCTTGATTAGGACGACGTTGTGAGGCGAGTGGAGAATTGCCCTTCGAGTCCCTCATTGGTCCTGGTTTGTCGTGTTCGCTCTCTCTTAGCATCCGCAGCCATGCCCCCCTAAAAAATTATGACCTATGGAGCCAGAACTAAAGAGGATGTGTGTTGATGGGAGTGGCATTGCGGGGCGCCAGGCGTTGCTGAGCCTCTATGGCGTGCGAGGTGTCATTGGCCGTCAGACGGGCGCTTACGGAGACCACTTCGGGCTCAGGATGGGCTGTGGTTTCCGTGCCGTTCCTTAGATGTGGGCCGGGGGACCCGCTCGTGGCCGGAGCTCGCCGTGGCCAGAGCATACTCCTCGTTCCGCAGTCAGTGTCCCAAACGGCAGCTCGACCACTGTGCTCTGCGGCCGCACGGTCCAGTTGTGGACCCCTCAGCTGCGTGGAGCCCGTGCTCAGGACCAAGTCGGCCTCAGCCTCGCTCCCCCGACGTCCCGGGCCAGATGCGGAGTTTCTCCTCGGCACGCCGAGTTGACCGTGCCGGGCACGTGGTGTCCAGACCATTCTTTCGAAGTGTGACGTCCGTCGTTACACAGAAGTGCTTGTGGTGGGCTCGCGTCTTTCCGAGGCATCGCCTGGGGGATCGCGTCGGGGACCTCGGCAGGCGGTGGACATGGATATACTCGCGGCCGCTGGGGCCAACCTATACTCTGGATGGGGCAATCATCGCCCCCCCATGGACCCGCTGAGGGGGTTGGGCACGTGCTGTCGGCACGGGTGGAGGGGGCTTGGAGGAGGAGGAGGAGCAGAAGGAGGGTGAGGAGGAGGAGGAGGAGGACGAGGAGGAGGAGGTGGAGGAGGGGGGGGGATAGGCAAGCTCCGTCGGAAGGTTAGTCGCCCACCCATCGATTATTATCCCACCCATAATAAGGATACTTCTTCGCCTGGCAGTGTTGAGGCAGCGGCCACCCCAGCGAGGGCGTTCAAGGCTGAACGCCGCCGGCCGCCCAGAATGGGCCGACGCCGAGCGACCTGCGCTGCCGTACAGTCGGGAGGCTGAAGAAGGAACCCTTTCCGTTGGAGAGGGGCTCCGTGTTCTTCACCCATCGGTCGTTGAAAGTAGGTCTATCTGGAGTCCCAGGTTCCAGTCTACTTTGAGCGCCTTCCTGCTTCAAGGATCGAGTGGCTTCACCTTCGTGAGTCCGCGATCGTTCAAGACGGAACGATCCTCGCGTGGTCGGAGGCCGGCGCCGGCGGCATCGCGACGTGGCCCTTCCTTTGGGAGCGCCTGACAGGCTTGTCCCGGGGGCCGTGGGCTTCCAGGGGTCTTGGACCTCTCCCCCGGGGCCTCGGCATGGACCTTGTTGTTTGTATCATTGTTATGTGTTCGCGGTCTGCACTGAAATCATAACCTAAAGTCATCTGCGCCATCGTTTCGATATTTTGAATTTGTTGGTGAATTGATCTTCTGTTGCCGGCCCTGGGGCTGGGAAGATTGCTTCCAGCGAGGCCGAACCCGTGTGATGACTGGCTCTCGCGTGGTGGTCTTGCGACGCTTTGATCTGGTCAGGGTCGCCGCCAGGGGGGGGACCCAGGTGAGGAAACATCGACCCCGAATCGCTCAGCATCGCCAATCGGGACCTGGGTACTCACTCCGTCCAGGAACGCACTGTCTGGCCATCGGCGATGCATCGCCGATTCCAGGGGTCACTGTCGCCCCACCCCCCTGGCCCAGTCCTCCCCCCTATCGCCGCCCCCTCCTTCGATGGTGGCGAGTGCTGGCCGGGCTCGGCCTCCAACCTGTGTGGCTCCCCCCCCCCCGGCCAGGGCAGCCTCACCGTCTTTCACGTGGCTGGGCTGGCTGCAGACAGGCCGGGCCCTGAAGGAGCGCGGGCCTTCCCGGCATGCTCGCACCCGCCACCCTTGGCTGGCCTCGGAGAAGAGAGAGCGGCATGAGCATGAGCTCTCGGATCTCGCGGACGTCCTGGTGGATCTGCGTCGGAAGCCCTGGACGGCGTTTCGGCGGTGCAGCGCAGATCCCCGAAATCCGCGCGGTCCTCCAGAAGTTTATGTACACGCAGTTCTTGTTCCATGTCTGTCCAGAGCCGTCCTCGATGCGAGTCGATCGATCCTCAGTTCGGACGGCACAGGGGATTGTGAAAGGGGGGTTCAACATCTGCCACGTGCAGCCGGTTTCGATCCCGCCGCGGAGCGCTTTCCTCGATACGCGGGCGCTGGACAAGGTGCCCGAAAGCAAGTGGGGGACCAGAAACGTGAGCTGACTCGCTAGCCTCCTCTGTCATCATAACCCCCTTTTCGCCCCATCCGAGATGCCGAAGGCGCCAGGGAAACCAGCTATCTGGGCTATTTCGCGATCCGCCCCTTTACTGATCCCCCTTTCGTCCCATCCGAGATGCCGAAGGCGCCAGGGAAACCAGCTATGTGGGCTGATTCGCGATCCGCCCCTTTACGGATCCCCCTTTCGTCCCATCCGAGATGCCCAAGGCGCCAGGGAACCCAGCCATCTGGGCTGATTCGCGATCCGCCCCTTTACTGATCTCCCTTTCGTCCCATCCGAGATGCCCACGGCGCCAGGGAAACCAGCTATCTGGGCTAATTCGCGATCCGCCCCTTTACTGATCCCCCTTTCGTCCCATCCGAGATGCCGAAGGCGCCAGGGAAACCAGCTATGTGGGCTGATTCGCGATCCGCCCCTTTACTGATCCCCCTTCCGTCCTGGCCGAGATGCCGAAGGCGCCAGGGAAACCAACCATCTGGGCTGATTCGCGATCCGCCCCTTTACTGATCCCCCTTTCGTCCCATCCGAGATGCCCATGGCGCCAGGGAAACCAGCTATCTGGGCTGATTCGCGATCCGCCCCTTTACTGATCCCCCTTTCGTCCCATCCGAGATGCCCATGGCGCCAGGGAAACCCGCTATCTGGGCTAATTCGCGATCCGCCCCTTTACTGATCCCCCTTTCGTCCCATCCGAGATGCCGAAGGCGCAAGGGAAACCAGCCATGTGGGCTGATTCGCGATCTGCCCCTTTTGCTGATCCCTCTTTCGTCCCATCCGAGATGCCCAAGGCGCCAGGGAAAATGGCCATGTGGGCTGATTCGCGATCCGCCCCGTTACTGATCCCCCTTGCGCCCGATCCGAGATGCCGAAGGAGACAGGGAAACCAGCTATGTGGGCTGATCCGCGATCCGCCTGGTTACTGGTTGCCCCGTAAGTCCGATCAGAGATGCCGAAGGCGCCAGGGAAACCAGCCATGTGGGCTGATGCGCGATCCGCCCCTGTGCTGATCCCCCCGTGCGTCCGATCCGAGATGCCCAAGGCGCCAGGGAAACCAGCTGTGTGGGCTGATGCGCGATCCGCCCCTTTACTAATACCCCCGTGCGTCCTATCCGAGAAGCCGAAGGCGCCGGGGGAACCAGCTCAATGGGCTCATGCTCGATTTGCCCCGTTACTGATCCCCCTTGCGCCCGATCCAAGATGCCACAGGCGCCCGGGAAGTCGGCTTCGGGGGCTGATTCGCGATCCGCCTGTGTACTTTTACCCCCTTGCGTCCCATCCAAGGTCAAGAAGGTCTTACGGCTGGTGCCGCCGACCCTGAAGACGACGACGACGAGGACAAGGAGCAGGAGGAGGAGGAGGAGGAGGAGGAGGAGGAGGAGAAGGAGTACGAGAGGAGGAGGAGGAGGAGGAGGAGGAGGAGGAGCAGGAGGAGCAGGAGGAGGAGCAGGAGGACCCGTGAGGGGCCTCTAGAGAGCTTCTTGGGGCCGATGGCTCCAGATGTCCGTTTCTTTCCTCCGTGCGGGCTCCCTCTTGGAGCCGTCCTCGTGCTCTTCGGGGGAGCCTCTTTGGCCGTCCTCGGAGGAGATGTTATTTGGGAGCCGTCCTGGGGGGGCCTTTTGGGCCGTTCGGGGGGGGAGGCCTCTTGGAGCGGTCCTGGTGCTCTTCGGGGGGGCCTCTTGGGCCGTCCTCGAGGGGCCTCGTGGAATCGTCTGGTGCTCTTCAGGGGGGGCCTCTTGGGCCTTCCTGGGGGGGTGCTCTAGGAGCCGTCCTGGTGCTCTTTGGGGGTGGCCTCTTGGGGCCGTCCTGGGAGGAGACGATGATGACGACGAGCATGGCGGTGATGATGACGATAATGTCCACGAGAATGGCGGTAATGCTGACGACAAGGACGACGATCATGACGACGATAAGGCCGCTGCACTTTGGCCTTGCCGCTGGGGAGAGAGCGGGGTCTCCGGGGAGAGCCGCCTCGCCAATCCCGGTGGCGGGGGGGGGGGGGGCGCTCCTGTGCCCACGCTCTCCGCCCTCTCCTGGGCAGCGGCTCCTGGGCGTCCAGGTGGGGATTCCGAGGTCACCACAGGGAGGAGGACGAGGAGGAGGAGGAGGAGGCGGAGGAAGAGGACGAGGAGGAGGAGGAGGAGGAGGAGGAGGAAGGGGAGGAGGAGGAGGAGGAGGAGGAGGAGGGCTGATGATTCAGAGGAGGAGCAGGTACCCATACCTCTGCATGTCTCTCGTCGCCACGTGGCCCAGCCACGTGGCCCAGCCAGCCCCGGGGAGGTGGATCGGCTACACGTAAGACTGACCCTTGGCCGGAGTGACCTTTGGTGCGGGCCCCATGGGGCCCCCGAGTCGGCGAAATTCGCCGAGTGCGAGACGCTGGCGGCGGCCTGCGCGCCTGTGTTCGTCCCTGTGGCGGCCCCCGCTAAGCCGCGCAGCAAAGGTCACTCTTGCCCAGGGTCACTCTTGCGTGTAGCCGAGGTGGATGAGGTGGATTCAGAGGAGGAAGACGAGGTGCCCATACCTCTACACGTCCCTCGTTTTCCCTTGAGGTGGGGGGCCGCTCCCGTGCCCAGTGCACCGGTGTCCACGCCCCCTCCTAGGCAGCGACCCTGGAAGCCCAGGCTTGGCCCAGCCGGCCCCGGGGAGGTGGATCATCGGCGGCGGGCGAGGGGGGCAAGCGAGAAGGAGAAGGCCCTCTCAGGAGGCGGCGGGGCTTCTCAGAAGCCCTCCGGCCTCGGTTCCTTCGGAGAAGGCTTCGAAGACTCCTCAGACGGCTGGGGGACTTCCGAGACTTCTGAGAAGGCCCGCCCGTTCTCATTCTCCCGCCCCTGCCGCGCCGCCGAGAGGAGGTGGATGGCTGATGGCGCCCGAGCGGAGGGCCGACATCCCGACTCCTCTGGGGGATTGCAAAGGTCTCCACGCAGCGCCGCAGGCTGTATCCTAGAGTCCCAACCTTCGTGTAGTCCCAGAGCCAAAAGGAAGAATTAGTGCACGAATGTCAGAAAATTGTTCTATTGACAGCCATCGGCACAAGTCACATCGATCACGCAATCTTACACAGGACCGCTGGCACTGCCCCTGGGCCGTGCCCTGGAGGCCAAAGCCTCGTATGGGCCCGGAGCCGCTTGGACGGATAAGCTCCCGAGCGAAATAGCTATCGTGCTATCAGCAACCTGTCGAGAGGGTTTCGGAATGTGCTTTGGGCGTGTCCGCTACGTCCAAGGGGGGCCTGCTCCCCGGACCCAAGGGGGGCCTGCTCCGAGGCGACGACCCAGGCGCTGCCTGGCAGCAGCCCCCCGCCTCTTTTACAGGAGGCCGCCCTCCTCGTGCCGTCCACTCTATGGGCGCGCCGCCAGCCTCTCCGCCGCCCTCCTCCTCCTCCTCCTCTTCCTCCTCCTCCTCCTCCTCCTCCTCCTCTTCCTCATGTCCTCCTCCTCCTCCTCCTCCTCCTCCACTACCACCACCTCCTCCTCCTCCTCCCCGCTCCTCCTCCTCCTCCTCGCTCGCTCGCTCGCTCCTTGGGGCTTAAAAGTTTGAGCCCGTGCCAGAAGGTGAAAAGGGAAAGGTCGCGCACAGAATTCCGAATTCATGCACGAGGAGGGGGGTTAGGGCGGCCCAAAAATAGGGGCAGCCAGCGAGTCCCCTTCAGAGCGCCCGACTGCCACACCAGGAAAAGGCGGTCCTGACGGCGAGGGGGTCGGGCCAGGGGTAATACCCGACACCATACCCCAGGCGGCCTCCCCTCCCCAGCACTCGTCCAGATGCGTCTTCTGGACTTTAGGGTCGTGGGTGAACACTATACCGTCCCCCCATTGGACTCCTCCTGTCACCAGGCGTGGGACCTCATGCAGTGGCTGTGCACCTGAGGGGCCTGCGTTCTGCTGAAAAACGGGGGCACTTTCAACCCGTATCGGGCAAGTTCCCGCCGCATTGCGGTCGGAAACCCAGTCAAGGGCGGCCCCCTCCCCTTCATCATTGCGCGCTGCCCCTACCTCGCACCCCCGCATGTTAGGTATGATATCGGCGTTGCGCAGTCGCCTGCTTGCAGCACTGCATAAACTCGTGACAATTTCCACAGTATCCCCGAGCGGCCTTCAGGTCGCCGATGACGCAGTATCCCCCCCCGCTCTTTCACGAAAGCACGAGAGTCGCAAGCGGTGGTTGAGACATCGCATCGGATCAGCATGCGAGAAGTGCCCATGTCCCGCGGTGGGGGGAGAGGGCACGCCAGAAGGCCAGGCCCCCCAGAGGGCCACAGGGGGCCACACCTGGTTCCACGGGCGGGCACGTGTCCAGCAGGGTCCCCCCACATCCAGGAAGCCTCGGGAGGGCAGCGACCTCTGGGGGCAAACCAGCAACAGGGGCCGTAGGGTTGACGGCAGGAGACACAGGGAGGATCCAACAGGCGGGGACGTCCTGGGCCACGCATCGCACCCACAACTCGGTGCACGACCGCAACCACATGTTTTCTCTCGCCATCAAATTCCTCACATATTCACTGGTCTGAACGCACCCCCAAGGGGACCCGGCGGTTCTAACGGGCGTGAGGCCCTCGGGGATCGCATCCATGGGGTGCGAGGCTTGCA